AATAAGAACCAAGAGAGATTATGTAAAGGTGCAAATTTCCAATGATGAATGTCATTATATTGTATACCTAAAATGTACCAATAAAATTTTTTAAAGGAAAGAAATGTAAATGAACTACATACTGAGACCTCCACAATCCAGACCCTTAATACAAAAACATTATGGGCTTTCTTTATTGTAAATCAGGTCTGCCTCTTAGAATTTTTTGGTAGTACTCAAGTAAGAAACACAAGATGTGGTACTCAGTGAGAAGTGGTTGGTAGAGTTAAAAGAAAATGTCAATTCAGGTTCCCTGTGAACGTGCAGAGGACAATGTCACCCACAGAAGCTAACAGCCCTGAGCACAGCAGCGCCCCGGGGACTTAGACACTGCGACAACCTGGAGTTCTCCACAGTGACACAGGAAGGCCAGCCACAGCTCCTCACAAAAAGCAGAGCCCTGCGGGAAGCTGAGAACAGAGCTAACAGGCTTCTTATGGCCCAACCATCACAAGAGCCCTGGGAGGACGAGGCATTGTGGTCATTACACTGCTGAGAGCACCGAAGCTTAGGAAAATGAAGATTTTGTCTAAAGAAAGCCACTTGGCAAGTAAGATCTGAACAATGACATCCATGGCTCAACAGTTCTTTTTGTTTCCACTACCCATTTCTGTGCTTTTGAGATTCAAACCATCTCTCTATTCATCCTAGAAAGCTTAAAATGCAGTTGAGAGACAGCTTTACTGTCAAGAATTTTCAGTTCTGACGAATAGATAAAGAAGATGTGGGTTTTTTATGCAATGGAATACAACTCTGCCATAAAGAAGGATGAGCTTCAGACATTTATTGCTAAATGGATGGATGCACCTTGAGACCATATTCTTAAATGAAATAAATTGGACACACGTTTTAATACCTCATTGTTTCTCTGGTGTGAGAAACCGAAAGTGGAAAAAAGGACTAAAATGTATAATAGATACCGGGAAGTGGGAAGAAAATGTTTAAATGGGAAGGGAAATAAGGGAGGGGGAGGGAGAAAGGAAAGGAGGGATAAGAAAATTGAAAATAGAAGGAAAAATGGAAACAAAGCTTTTGTGCATGGGATAGGAGGGGAGGGGCTTGGAGGGAGGAGGGATGGGAAAAGAGGCGCAGGAGGAACCATGTACAGGTGCGAGCTCCCCGTGATGAGTGTTACCATTATGTGTCCCTAAAATGTACCTATAAATGTTGCCTGTAATCAAAAAGAATTTTCAGTTCTTTGGATGATACCAAGGACACACAAACAACCCTGAGGCCAGCACCAGAGAGGGGTGCTACTTCCTCACAGGCGTTTTGACCACCAGGCAGCCCTCTGCACTCCACAGACCCCTGGCCTTCTGTTACCTTACAGCCGCCAGGTCCAACTGCAGCCCCTGAATTAGCAGGCGGCACGGCACAGGGTGACTGCAGTTCAGAAGGAGTCGCACCTAGTAAACAGGGAAGGGCTCTTGCTGACACCCTCCCTGCTGGCACGGCCGATCTCTCAGCGAGTTAATAAAAAGTAAAGCCCAGGCACTAGTTCCAAGGGCGGAAGACTGATTCTAGACCTCGCTATAACCACCAACCAGCGGAGGACACAGGACTCATCCGGCGGGTGTGGTCACAAGGGCCTTCGCTGCTGTGAGTGCAGGAGGCTGAGCACAGCAACTCCAAACCAAGGTCTGGGGGGTGAACTTACTCAGCAAGTATTTTAATATTTACTGCAGTGATGGTTGTACTTAGTGACAAAGAACCATACCTAGAACGGTAAGCTCAGGTACATTTTACAATACTAAATAAAGGTATACAGGAAAGGCACTCTAAGCACTTTTCAATTTATTTCAAACACATACAGGGCCAGGAATTTAGCTCAGTGGTGCTGCGCCTGCCTGGCAAGTGCAAGGTCCTGAGTTCCATCCCCGGTACCAAAAATAAACAAACAAATAATAAAAAATAAAAATATGCAACATGCCAGCTCTGTCCTTTGAAACCATGAAACCCAGTAGCAGTGCTAGTTAAGATCTAAAGTAACTGTGCGCTGGAGAGGCCCCAGAGAGGTGGTGGTGGTGGTGACGCAGCTTCTGAATACAAAGAACCTGCTGCTGGCAGAAGGCGTCTCCCAGTGCGCACACCGTCCTCCAGAACTGCCTCCTCAGTGACAGGCTCTAAACAGTACTAACGTGTTCACAACCCTCTAGCACAAGTCCATGGACCCACAGCCACCATCATTCACAGCTGCAAAAAGCATACTCACTGGTACGTGGGTCAGAATGGTGCAGGCCAGGAGCTCCCGTGCCTCTTCTATCTTGGTTTTCTTTGGTCCTCCTCCCCACATCCTTTGCCTTCTTACTTTGTTCCCTATGTATTTTAACGCCTACAAAACAGACAAGAGTGTTTGGGTGACATCGCTGGAAGTCATTTATACACACATTATAAGCAAAAAAGAGGAAGAGAAAGAACTAAGAGTAGAACTCTGTAAGGGCCCTGGCTGTAGAGAAAGCTGCATTAGGAGTCATCAAAAATCAACATCTATCACAAATCAATGACAGGAGAGCAGAACCACTGCCTAGTACACCAGCTCCCTTCTTACTTTAAAAATATTTTTCCTTCTGTAAAATTTATAGCTGATCATTGTGGGAAATTTAGAAAACACAGATAAGTGTGAGAGAGTGTGTGTGTGAGTCTGTGTGTAACAGCCATTAATCATTTACTCGGAGAACTAGAGCTAACATTGTGGGATGGCACTTTTTTCTCTTAAAAAAAAAGCACACCAAGTAAGACCTCCACCGCAAAAGCTACAAACCATTGCTGAGAGAAAACAAACCCAGATAAACTGAAGGTTACACTTGCTAATTAGACTTCTAACGGGATTTTTAAAAAGCAAAGATCAGTTGGTTCTGAAGTTATAGATTCTATAATTTACATAGCAATGCAGAGAAAGTTTTGAAGCTACAATAATCAGAACAGTGGCACTAGCGTAATGACAGACAATGGAAGAGGACAAGACCAGAAATTAACTTACTCTGTGGTGAACTGATTTTGCACAAAAGTGCCAAAGCGATTCAATGAGGACGGAAAGGTCTTTTCAACAAATGATGGTGACACAACTAAATATTCATAGTTAAAAAAAAATAGCCACGACCTCTACCTCGTACCAAATGGAAAAATTAAGATGGATTTTAGATCTACCACAAAAACTGAAAGTATGAGGCTTCTCTAAGAAATCACAGACTATGTTCCTGACCTTGGAGTGGGCAAAGATTTCTTTAAACAGGAAACAGAATCAACAGCTGTAAAGGACAACTCAGTAAGGAAAGTGAAGAAATGATCTGAACTCTTCACAAAGAAGAAAACACCAATGACCAGTGCAGACACAAAAGGGTTCAACATCTGGTTACCAGGGAAACCAAAACCAACACAATGTGACGCTCCCAGTGCAACCTTGACTATTTCCACAGTAAGACGACCATATGCCCCTTCTTATTCTATAACAGCCATGTACTTTTTAGAAAACTGGCTTTCAGCTCCTCAGAAGCAAGGAGTGGTATCCTTGGTTCTCAGCCCTGGAGCTCCGACCCCAGTCATCTGTGTGGGACATTCCTGGTTCTAGCTGCAGAACGGGGTTGGTCCTGACCTCGTTTCTCTTTCTCTGCTACTGTAACTCCTTGCACCTTTGCGTCACACCGTACTTTTGTTACCTACGAACACACACATTTTAGACTGTGAGTGGGAACTCTAATCATTCTCTTCGTCTCTTAGTGACTGGTAGAGCGCCTACAACTGAATGGAATGATCTCCCTGTGCTAAGATTTGGACATCTCTAGGATCCTCCCTGTTGGAAGGCCAGCAGAGCGCCAGACAAACCCTCCGCACACCTGCTGCCACGGCCTAGGGTAAACAATAACTAAATAACCAACTAAGGCAAGTCAGCAGGAGTGGCAATGGCAGTTGGGCTGTCCCTAAATTGAGCTGTCTTCATTAAATCTTTAACCTCCCAATTCCCTGGGGAAAAGCTGATGCTTCTTCACTTCTTTAAGGAAGCAATGCAGGAACAAGGAATCCCTTCTTTTTTCTGTTTGTTTGGGGTTTTTTTGGTACCGGAGATCAAACTCAGGTCCTTGCGCTGAGACAGGTGGCAGAACCATTGAGCTAAATCCCCGGCCCAAGGAATCCCTTCTAATGGAGCACAAGGCCACTGTCCTGGGGACCACCTACTGATGCTGCCAGTAAGTCGCAGCCCTATGTTTTCACGAGGAAGCCACACTGAGACCCCCAGTGCATCCTCTGCCCCTAAGAATAGCAGTAACTAATTTCTCATCTGTACACTAGACCCCCTGCAATGACATAGAACGTACTCAGTCAAAACAGAGAGAAGGCTTCATGAACAGAAGAAATGGTAGAGAACCTAAAAAGGAAGGCATAATAAAAACAAAATAAACCCAAGACCTCATGAGTGTTAAGTAATCCACTGAAATGCCAAATCTGCAGAGGCTCTATCACATAACACAGTGCACCTCCTGCATTCCCATTTAGATCAGCACAGAACATTTGTGTCTTTATAACCAGAATACATGTCCAGTGGGTCACCAACTCGGTCACTCCTGCCTCTGACCCTCTCACCAGCTAGCTGCAAACAACTAATCCACACCTCAATCCACGCATACAGTAGGAGCCCTTCCACTTATCTTTCATATATAACTAATTAATCATACATTCCCTCCCTCTTGGCCCTGACCTGATCTGTTCAGTTAGCTGAAATTTTCTTTTAGCAGCTATTTACCAGAAATAAATGTATGAGTTTCCAACCCACTGTTAACCCCTGCTCAAATGGTTTTACAATGCGTAGGGTTATTTAACCAACAGTGACAATGTTTGCAATAAAATGCATCATGGGTCTAGGTAAAGCCCCGGAGGGCATTAGAGCACACACAGCTTTCAAGACTGGAGATTCTCCCAAACTGAATCAAGCTCTGCTGCTCACGGGGTAGACGTATGGTTTCTTATGGTCTCAGAACACTATTGCTCCTGTTTGTAGCAAAGATTCATGCCTACCAAGTGTTTCTTGTCCAATGAAGGGCAGAAACAGAAGCCCCTAACCCAAATACCTTCTCCTGATGCTGCTTGCCCAATTATTTGAGTCAACTATTAATTAGCTGTAGAAAAAGAAGATGGCAGTGACAACAATAATCCCTACTGCTGATGTGTGCTTTGGAGCTATACATACTGACATATGACAATTACCTTCCCAAATTCTTGGCTTAGTCTATGAAAGCATCAGGACTGCTGTGCTTTCAGAACACACAGGAACGAGTACAAGTGGGCACATCACGACTGGTGCCCGGGCTGACAAGAAAACAGTAGCTTGGAATTCACATGTGGCCGTAAGAAACCCATGGAGCAGACAGCGTGCCTGTGGACAAGTAAGAACGGCCTGCTGTGGTTCCGCAGAAGGGAATCCTTCCCTCCCTCCCTCCCTCCCTCCTGGGACGGCTATGAGCAACGCTAACATATACTTAGCAAAGCACTTTCCACACATGGACTGAGACCCTCAGTGTGGCTTTCAGGACTCCCCCACTTGGGAAGGGAAGTACCATTATTTTTATTATGTTTAACACACCCAGGGTTCCCTATCTTCATCTCTGAAACCCTAAAATTCCCAGGCTCCACCAGGAGCACCTAAAAGGGTCAACAAAGACCCAGAGTGGCAATGGGGACTCCTCCTGACCTCTCTTGCTGCCTGAGTCTGGAATCTGGAATTCAGGAAATGGGATTGAGACCAGATACAACTGGATGCCTAAAGCAAGCCAAGCAGAGAATGAACACCATATTAAGGGCTGATATTAAGCGTGATATTAAGGGATTCTTAGTGGTAGAGTACCTGCTGAGCATGTGTGAGGCCCTGGCTTTGATCAACAACACACACACACACACACACACACACACACACGCATGGATGCACCCACACATGCATGCACGCAGGCACACATGCCAGTGAGGAGGATATTAAGGAGAAAATGCAAGGGAAAAAAAAGAATCCTTCTACATTAGAACTGCCAGAGTCTCAAAAAAATAAGCTGCGTGTGCCGGTGCACACCTGTAATCCCAGCACTCAAGGAGGCTGAGGCAGGAGGATCACAAGTGTGGGGCCAGCATTAATTAGACACTGTCTCAAAAAGAGAAACAGGGCTGGAGATGTAGCTTATTGGTAGAGCACCCCCGGGTTCAATCCCCAGCACTGGAAAAAAATAAAATAAAAAAGCCCAACTGGGTAACTAAGGAATAAAATAGCACTTGCTTCTGTGCCAGCACAAAAGCCCTGTGGCCCTCTCCCCTCCTGAGTCAGACACTGCAGGCCACTGGCCGCTCCGGGCAGACCCCTTCCTGCAGTCCCTCAAACAGTGAGGCCAGGAGGCTGCGTGCACCTCTCCCACTCACAGCCCGGTGGCCACCAAGGCTGGGTCCTCGTCAGGGACAGCGCAGTCCCCAGCTGCGACTCGGCGAGAGGCCAGACTGGACACACCTGCATCTGCGTGAAGATCTGTGCCTTCTGGCACTCCTCCAGGCTGGGCCCGAACGCGGCCATCACGCGCTCCTCCGTCCCGATCATCTGCACAATTTCCTGGTCACTCTCAACACCCATGGCCTAGGGAGGGAAGCAAAGACAGCACAGAGTGGTGGGCTTTGTGTTCGCGCGCTGACATTTGCTTATGCTAATCTGGCATTGTTTGTGGGTATCACTTCTAAGCGAGCTCACTCCCGCTCAGAAACGGGGCCATCTGGCACTGGCGGCGCAGCGCAGCACGGCTGCACAAGAACCTGAAACAGAAGCGTTGATTAGGAAGAGGGAAACAAACACTCGCAAGCATTTTCTGCGTGTGTACCACCTTCTCGAATTTTTAACTATTCTAAGTTTGATCATGCAAAAAGGAGACCCGGAGGTTCAGTGGACAGGATTGGTCACGATGACAAAGGCAAACAGAAAGGAAAAGCGATCAGAGAGCAGGTGCTGCCGAAAATGAGCAGAAGCCCAACTGGTTTGTGACAAGACTAATTTTCCTGCAAAGTGTCAAATCATTCATATTCACCCTAAAAGTTTCCCTAACAACTGTTTCACCTCATTACTCCAGAAGTACAAGACCAGGCTTGCACAGGGTTTGAGATGCTTAAAGCCTAAGAGCACGCTCCACAGGTTTGAGAGCCCCACTCGAGTGCTCCAAGGTGGCAGTGGCCAAGCGGCGGCAGCAACATGCGGCCTCACACACCTGCTGGAACCCTGCCACGCCAAGACACAGAGCGCAGTCCACTCCCCCTCTCGGCAGTCATAATCTGCTTCTCAGAAGTTAGGGAAAAGTTAATGTTTGCACTAAAATTCTTTGTAGAGAAGACTGAACCAGCAGATAAGGGTCCTGTCGAGTGCTGTGCTCCTCCACACTGAAGAGCAGGGAAGCGGAGCCCCGGGGGCCCCACACAGGACACCAACGGCACCACCTGCAACAGCGGGAGGGGCCTCTCCCTCAGGTCAGATCGGGGGCTTCGTCCTAACGTAACGCCAGCCGTGCTCAGCCCCAACAGCACAGAGCCCGAAGTCTCACACCTCTTCCACCTCAGAGCTGTCATCTGTCTGCCAAGACGGCGTGACCAGGCCCTTCCCGCTCAAAATTCTATAATTCCACATGTGGCCTTCCGGTGTCTGAATTCTATAAATCTGATTTGGATACTTTAGAATCAGATGCAAACTTACGAAAGTTTTGAAGATTTACGAGGACGCTAAATAGGCGACATGTCCCTGTATGGCATTTGAAAAATGTTCCTAACTTCTTGGACGCTCAATTCCCCTCCTGACCGCAGGCTTAACTTAGGGACTTGCTTCTGGAGACAGAAGTGGAGGCCAAATGTGGGGCTTTGAAGGCTCACTTACAAAGAACATCAGCTTCCTGCCTCTCTAGCTGCGCAGCAGGAAGACAATCAGGCAGTGGAGGGAAGGCCTGGCATGGAGGGGTCAGGGAAGCCAGCTCGGCCAGGCTGGCCCCCTGTCGGAGCTGGGCCCTGAGACAAGCGCCGGCCCAGCAGCCCTCAAGGGCCCGATGGACAGAAACTGCGGTAACTTATTTATTACACAGCATACCTGACGAATACAACAATTTCTGGAATTAAATTTACTATTTGAACTTTTAAAAAAAGTTTAATGTGTAATTTTATTTGTTCCACAATAATTTTTTACAAAGAAATCTTCAGGATACATATCCTCTTTTTGTTACTTTAATTTTTGCAGTCTTTTTATCTCTAACTTGATGTGAAGGATTTTATTTAAAAGGATACTAGAAATAAACTCTACTATTTGAAAATTACCAAATGTATTAAAATGCTAAGAATTTCATACATTAAAGGATAGCGGTTGTAAAGCCAGGTGTGATGGTGCATGTCTGTAATCCCAGCACTTGGGAGGCTGAGGCAGGAGGATCGCCATGAGTTCAAGACCAACCTGGACTAGACAGCAAGACCCTGTCTCAAAAAAAAATAAATAACCAAGAGAGATGATGCAAAAGTACACATTTCCAATGATGAATGTCATTATACTGTATACCTAAAATGTACCAATAAAATAAAATTTTTTAAAAAATAAATAGTTTTAAAAGGTTAGCAATTATAAAAAAAAAATCAGTTCTACTTTTTTAAACAAGTGAACAAAAACCAGGTCATTCTTCACTCAAGCACACTGAGACACATCTACTCTGAATGGTGCTGGCAAACAAGTACAGCCAGCTCCACTTTCTCCTCAGTCTGCAAGTAACCAGTTACAAATACGAGCACAGAATTTCTCCCTGTGAAAGCTTGTTACAGTTAATGTTTCCTGCTCATTACATGGGCTTCAGCAGGATCAAACTGTAAGAAAAGCAATACTAAGGTAACTAATTTGCAGTGGAATCCAATCATGTTTCTCTAAATCTTTGATAATAAAACGTGTAACCAATGCGCTTCACTTCTAAGGAAAAGCCAAACCCAAGCAGAGCTCTGTGTGGGTCAGATGCTGACCCATGCACGCAGGACGACATCAGCAAGGGTCCAAGACAGAGACAATTCGGAGGAAAACGGCAGACCTTTCCAGATTAGCTAACATCTGTATTATGCAACCTAAAGGCCACCTGCATTATTTTAGTTATTTGTATCTCCATAATCTCCAAGTGAAAAAGACTACAAACTTGATTGCTCACTTCAGTGTTCAAAGATAGCAGAAACCCCCCTCACTTGACATACGGATTGGCACTTGAAGGGTGTCCTGATGTTGAACCCAAGCAGTAATTTCATAACTGCATAAAAGTCCCCAATGGCCTAACATGGATCTAAACAGACTGCGTAGGCCCCCGACGTGTCTAAGCCATGTGACCGACATGCCGAGCGCACGGTGACACCACGCGTGCAGGGTGTGATTGGCACCACGGCTCTGCTGCACAACAGCCAGGCTCTTCCCACAGTGAGCCACTGAAACACAAGGTGATGACTCAGCCAAGCCTCATCAAAAGCGCTCCAGCTCCAAAGGCCGAACTGATTTTATGACTCTCTGGCCTGCAGTAGTCACAGCTACAAATAAATGATAGATTGCTATGGAAACCAACAAAATGCTCAACCATTTCGCTTTGCAGACCTAATTTAGATATCTGAAAACTAGCTTTATATGGAACTCTTTGTACTCCAGATATGTGAAATCATTTCTACTAATAAGTCAAAAGTAAACGCTACATAATAACCTTATGAACAAATAGCAGAGATAATGTGTTTTGGCACAAGGCCCCTCGCAGCTTGGCAATCAGCAGTAACGCTGAACAAAATCAAGGGGAGGTGCCCTTTACAAAGTGGCACAGTCTTCTCCTTGGATCTGAGACAGAGTGACTTTTCAAGACAGAAGAAAGAATGCTAATGAGAGAGGAGTGTGGCAGGCACCTGACGGTGAGGTGCTGGAACGTGTGGAGTGGAAGTGGCAGAGGTGGTTAGGGCCTGCGGTATCTAATGTTCAGACGTCGCCAACTCTTCTCAACAGGAAATAAGTCCACCTATTACTATTCCCAAGAGCAGCCCCAGCAGATAACGAGAGAACTGTGATGGCCCTCTGTGGGTCTGCTGGTTTCTCCTGAAAGATTATAAATGTCCATGCAAGTTGGTCTCCAAGAGACCACACTCCTCCCCTGAAACTGGACCCTCCTTTCCCATGAAAACTGCCATCAGTGTCCCTGCAGAAGGCCTGGAATGCAAAATGGCAAGTGGGGAAGATTCATGGGCAGAAGAACCTTTGTGGTGATTCCAGTTCATAAATAAGGCTGATCTGGGTCTTAGGAAGCTTCAGCCTTCATATTCAGACTCAGCGTGTCATCTGGAAACCCTGCAGCTTCTGTCACTTTTAGCCAATTGTTGGTTACAATCAACAGCCATCAAGTCCTAATGACTGTCAAGGTCTGCCTCAGGGCCACACAACACAGAAAGAGAACCCATGCACCTCTCCTGCCTGCCCAGTTTATCTTCCCTACCTGACAGTAAATGGACAAGGAAAACTAAGGAAAAGGAAAGCACCCTCTCTCTGGGGAGCTACTCTCAAAACCACAGGATCTCATTCGTGCTCCACAAGTCTCCTGCGGGTATTCTTGGCACGGTTGTCCAGGACTCGGACTGGGAAGGCTGCACAGGGTCGCACAGCTGATCCCGGAGGCTGGGACGTGGCAGCCTCCGCTCCTCCTAAGACCCCAGTGCTCTGTGCGCCTCCCAGCTGCGAGGTCTGCAGGGTGGGAGAGAAACAAGTTTTCACCCGTTTCTCAAACATCCCTCCAGTGGGAGACCAAGAAGGTCATTGTGTAGGACCAAAATATTTAGTCCACTTGCCTGAACTAAATTTTTTAACAAATATTTATTTAAATGTATACACACTACTGGTAGGACTGGAACAGATACCTTCTAGAAAAAATATTTGGCAATATGTACACCAAGTGTTTTAAAAAGATTCACTTCTGTTTGCAGGACGAAAGTCTCAAGAAATGTCAGCCATGTGCATGTGCGTGTGCGTCCAGGGACAGGCGAGCAGAAGCCTTGGAGGGAAACCATGGTAACTATGGTTCTGCCACAGGAGCTGGTGAAGTAAAGGATACCACACGGATGAAGTTTCTACATGATACGCACTAAAGCGATGATGCACACCCCTACTTAGAGACTGGAAAGCCAGTCACAAGTCTACCTTTAAATATAAAATACAATTGTGCATATTACAAAAATCACAAGAGGCCAGGTGTGGTGGTACACGCATGTGATCCCAGCGCTCGGGAGGCTAAGGCAGAAGGATCACTGCGAGTCTGAGGCCAGCCTGGGCTAGTGAGTTCAAGGCCAGGTCGTCTCAAAAAACCAAACAAACAAAATAAACCACAGGAAAAACGATCTGGAAAATATATAAAAATGTAGCTATCCTTTCCAGTAATTTTCTAAAATTTATAATATAAGGACTATTTTATATTCAAAAAAGAAAATTGTTAATTTGCAGCCCATTCTATAACGTGAGTCATGTATATGCATGTATATAGGTACAAGACTAATATTAAACAAATTTGATGGAAGAAACTGCCTTATTAAACTTTTGTCACCTAGCAAAAAGGTGGGCACTTAACATTTTTCTAATTTTTATGCACACATGCAACTTGTTATACATTTTCTACATGATGATAAAACATCATATGCATTATAATTAATTTAAAATTTCTGGTCTAAAGAAAGCAGCACTATCCATCTTCAAGTGTTTAAAACTTGCCTGCCCATCCTTTGTAATGTGTAGGAATACACTGCCCTCTGCTGGAGATGTAATGCTACTGTGTTCCACAACCTGCTCTTTATTCTTTAGCATATACACAAGACAAGGAGTCCTGTGGAATCCCTACCAAAAAAGCCAGCATTCCTTCTGTGCTTAAGAAATACAAACCTCAGCCGGGCGTGGTGGCGCACACCTGTAATCCCAGCACTCGGGAGGCTAAGGCAGGAGAATCGCCCTGACTTCAGGGCCAGCCCGGGCTACAGAGTGAGTTTGAGGCCAGCCTGAACTACACACTGAGATGCTGTCTCAAAAAAAAGAAAAGAAAATACAAACCTCAAAGAACAGGAAAACAGTATGTGTATTTAAGAAGTCTCTCTGGACCCTGGCTAGAGCAGGCCAGTGGTGACTATCACCACGGCCCCATCTCATTGCTAGAACTCAGATGCATATCAAGTTGCCCTAAGCAGAAGACTTCTGCCCCACAGCCAGCCCTCAGCTGCAGTCAGCGCAGAGTGCGGCCTCTTCAGCAGCTGAATCCTGACTGGGACATGTCCTTCGATGCCCAACATGACTCAGCTTCCTCCCCGATCCTGTCACCACCACTGGTGACAGCTTTCACAGTACACCCTTGGCCCCTGCGCACTCCTCCGGCGATTACACCAAAATGTTTCTCCTTTTGCCAGCTTAATGAAATTCCCTATCGAGGATCTCTTCCTGGTTTGTTCACTGTGACTCCAAAGATATTTCCACTGTCCTAAGGACTGCTGAATACAAAGTTAGTTCTAGAGTAAAACTGAATGGTGGCAAATGAATATTATCTAGCTGGAAATTGTTTGAATTGCCTGGCATCTCCTCAAATAATGAGTTCTCTCAATTAAACTGGTCACCAAGCTTCACCTTACAGCCCTGAGGATTCAATTGTCATTATCTGTGGTGGCCCACCGGCAATGTGGCTCGGTTACGCAGAACTGGCAAACACGGAGCCACTGCACTGGCACAGACCCAGGGCGGGGACCTGGCGAGCTGAAGGCACTGCACTTCCATCAGCACAGCGCCACTGTTTAAGTGTGCCTCTGCTGAAAAACACCTCATGGGATGCACGGCTGACAAATTCCCACTGAACTCGCAGTCAAAAGCCCTGTCACCTTCGCCCAAATAAGGGCGAACCTGCAGTTAGTTTCTCCTGGGGAGGCCACAGCCTTCCCGAGTGAGGGAAACTAGACAAGCCTTCCGCACTCACCTGTGAGTCGTCTTTCAGAGCAGACTGCAAAAACACGAAACAAACTGACACAGGAGTGGAAGGAGAAGGCGGAGCGGCTCCATGCTCACCCCAGCAGGGGAATGAACGTGCAAGCACGGCCGTTTCTGTGTCCGCTGCCCTGCCATGCACCATCTGTGAATAACCACAGAAGCGCCACGAGGACTGATCTGGGGGCACAATTCTACTCCAGCACGAATCCGAATCCAGGAACACTGAGAATGAGCTGTAGCACATGATGCCAATGACCTTTTTGTCCTGCTTCACGACTAAATACTCCATTTAACAGTGTGCTGGTGCCTCAGCGCAGGTGAACTGGCCGCTGAGAAGACCAACACACTGACAAGTTATTTCCACAGGAAGTCTCCCAGGTTCTAAGCCAACAAAAAACATCAGCTGTGGACTGAAGATTTGCCTTGATGTAGAAACGTGGCAGAAGCTAGAAGTCTGTCAAAAGAAACAAACACAGTCTACTCCCTTTGACCTACAAAATCCCACTGCTGCAGGCTTAGCCTGCAAATACCCTGTGTGACAAAACCAACAGCGAGGGCTGCGAATGTCCACTGGAGGAGCACTGTGAAGTAAATTACGGGACACCATCAACGACCGGCCTGTCCGAAAGAGTACAGTAGGTCCACGCGAACTTAATGTTCATTACAAAGAAGGAAAGGAGCTGGGCACAAAACAAGATGCACCGTATCTTTCAAAGAAGACCCAGACAGTCACTGCTCATACATGCAACACTGGCTCGAAGAGACCCAAGGCTCTCCTGAGAGCAGGGTCCGAGGCACAGCTCCATGCTCAGGTACAGGGTGAGCGAAGCTTACTCAGCACAGAGACCTATTGGCTCCTTTAGATTTCTACTTTTAAATCACAGATTATTATTTTAAAAATATAGGGGCCAGGGATTTAGCTCAGTGGTTCTGGCACCTGCAAGTTCAAGATCCTGAGTTCGATCCCTGGTACCACACACACACACACACACACACAAAAAAAAATATATATATAGATAGATAGATATACCTATATTAAATAGATATATCTATATCTATATTAGATAGAAATAGATATATACATGTACGAGCCTCAGTCTCATTATCTTCAGCATAAAATACATCATAGGATTGACAAGTAATCTATGCTATAAACCCTTCCGTTCCTGGAGTTCTTTATCATTTACATTTCTAACTATGTGTGCAAATACAGCAGGGAGCTCTGTGATTTTCAGAGCAGCGCTGCAGCCTCACCTTGAAGATGATGACGATGGGAATGTCCTCGGACAGGGTGTTGTGCCGCAGGTAGAATCGGCCTTGTTTCACGGCCATGTTGGTTCTGCTCTTTTTCTCGTGGGTGGAGCTGCGGGGAAGCCCACACTGGTTAAGATGTGTCCTTACTTGGGGACAGAGTGGCAATGCTCGCCACCGATGAGGCTCGGTGACCAGCAGTGATCAGGAGGCTTTCAGTAGGGCTTCTCAGACACATGAGACCTCCTTCCGCCGGCCACCACCACCGAGGACACAGGAAAACACTGGCAGCCAGTGACCGTGAGCCTTACAGAGCTCTCAATGGCACGAACACCCTGCCGTGGCACTCATACCACAGGCCCGCCACCATTGCTGTGAATGTTTCCTCGGCTCTGCGGTTACAGTGGAAGCTGGGTGGGTGAATGAGTGCCAGCCCCTCACTGCCACCCCATGCAGGCCACACATCTGTGGCCAACTTTGTGGGCTACTGTGAGAGAAAAACCTCAAACTGGGCCTAAGCCCTACTGAGAAAACGATGAGGAAATTGTGGGCCTTTGAATGAACACTGTAATAAAACATACCCACAGTCTTGGAGCGTAGGAAAGCCAAAAGAAACTATGCACTGTCCTCCTATTGGGATCTCTGTTCATTAGAAAACACCAGATGGATCTGAAGGCATTTCAGAGGCTCCACGTACCACAAGGGTAACGCACAGCAACTGTGTAACAGCACTAACTGAGAAGCGCTGTCTCCAAGTCACAGACAAGGAAAGCAGGCTAGAAGCCAAGTAGCTGCCTGCCGTGGTGGCCCAGCCAGCACGAAGAGCTTTGGGCTGCGCTCCAGGCTGTCTGGCCCCAGAGCCACAGCTGGCTAGGAAGCATGCCTGAGTTTAAATGCTGGCTGCCTCCTGACCGTCAGCAGCCCTGAGCCCCGCTGTAAAATGGACAGAACACCACTTAGAGGGGTGGAGGGAACCATTAAATAAAGTACACAATGCAACACTCCCTGGCTCCCAGTAAGTGCTCAGTAAACGGCCGTCACTGCTAGCTGCCCGCTCAAAGGACGTGCAGGACTCCAACAGCCAGGCTGTTCATCACGGGTTGTCAGAAGAGGAGCAGCACGCACTTACGTCTCGTCTGTGCACAGACATCTGATTCCCACAACCCACTGTCCTCCGCGTTCCGGGTCACACCTGTTCAGTCCGTGCTGCGATTCTTAAGTGCTAAGTGTAAAACAGTCTCCGCTCATGTCCACACAAGAAAACCTACGGACATGGTCAAAGACTGAAAAGGAACATGAAAAACAGAAGAATGCTTCTGTATTTTTTCTTTTTTTAAAGTTTCTTTAGTGCTATGAATACATGGAAATCCCAACTTCAGCAACTCACTGACTTGCCAGTGGTGTGTCACACTGTCATCACGGAACGCTCAGAGTCAGCGCTCGGTGCTTACAGACCTGCACGCGCCTGCTCCCGAGGGGAGCACGGGCTGCCTGTGTGGGGAAGGAGGCGCTACATCCCTCCCGAAGGACAGTGCGCTGCTTCCCATACCTGGTCACTGAAGCTCCGACAGCCCCTTTTCTGTCTGCTTCCACAATAATCCTGTTCTTAGACAGCTGCTCCTGGATAAGAATGACTTTCTCAACTCCTTTGACAATGAAGTAGCCACCTGCATAAAGGAAATGAGAAAACCTTCATCACCTGGTCTTGGCCAGTGTGCCCGAGGGTCAGTGGGTCCTCAGGACAGGGGACCTCAGGACCACAGAACTCAAACAGGCAGCCGCTGTCTTGAGGAAAACAAAATAATAGTAACAGCAGAACAAAAGCAAAGGGTTAGAGAAAAGTAAAGGAAGGGCTACAAAACCAAGACATCACACAAACCTGGGTCTAAAGGACATTCGTTCAGTTTGGCAAATTCTGCTGGCGTCTTCCCTGTAAGAACGCAGTTTGAGCTTCGGAGCATTATGGGCATTCTGTTTAAAAGAAAACACAATGTAGATCGTCACTGGGCAAAGTCGCGTAGCGCTCCCAATGTGCAGCACACACACCTGTGGGTCTGCATGTCGGCGCCAGGCTAGAGACAGCGAGCAAGGGCAGGAAGAAGAGCAGGGGAGGCAGGGCTTCCCGGCACGCAGTGCCTCCAGCACAGACACCGCAACCTGAAGGACTTGGCCTCCCTGACTGCGCGCATGGCTTTATTGGATGCCGGAAATGACAGCAACTCCTGTCTCACAGGAGCGAATGGGACTCACGCGTTACTTGGAAACAGCACAGTGCATCCGAGTGCAAGAACAGGGCAGGATCCAAACAAGGCAAAATGGAAAAAAAACTAAAAAGAGCTGAGCACTGTTTCAGTTTCAACCTTAATTTCAAAATCTTGGAAGAGACTGAATGATAATAGGTTTGACACAGTGGGATTCAGAATTGTAAACTGGAAAGATCTCAGAAGAAATGATGGAGAAGGATTTCAGAAAGACTAAGATGAAGACGCAGAGGGGTAGGAGGGTGTGGGAGCGTGGAGCAAGAAGGCCTAAAGGGGCCCTCGTCAGGCTTCCCGACTCAGGGATGCACGGCTGGAAGCCTTGGAGCCTCATGGAGACACCCACGCAAAAAGAATGAGAAGAAACCTACGCCCACACATTACAGTCAAGATGCAAGATGCTGAAAGCTGGAGATCAAAACCCAGACTGAAGAAAGGGCAGGTTACCAAGAAGGAAAAAGTGAGCAGACACTGGCAGGTAGTAAGTAAAGGTGGAATACACACTCCGCCTCAGCTTGGGCATTTTTTAGGTCATCACTCAGAATAAGGTCAACATGAAGATATTTTCAGAAAAAACCAGAAGTTACCACCGACAGACCCTCACTGATGGGATTTCTGAAGGAGTTTCATCCTTTTGGTTTCATTTCTCAGTTTGTATTTATTAGGCCGTGTTTGCCTGACAGTGAAGTGACTGCATTCCTCGTGGGGAATTGGTGCGTGGACACACACATCCCAATTCTTTTCACACCCCTTCCCTCCCTCCATCTCCAGGCCCTTCCCTTTTGCAAAATATCTATTTCCCTGCTTCTTACTGCGGATCTTTTATTGTGCTCTTATTTATAGTTTGGGTTTCCCATATCGTAGAAACCATGTGATATTTAATCCTGTACATCTGATTTCTTCCGCTTATTATGGTCTCAAAGTGACCCCACTTTCCTATAAATGCCTCAAGTTTATCTTTCTTTAGGGCACAGCAGTGCTCCATTGCACTTAGATACCATATTCTCCTTATCCATTCATGCTGATGGACATATGGGCTACCTCCAAAATTCAGTTATGAATCATGCAGCTATAAACATGGATGTGCACAGGTCACTGTAGTATGATGTCTTTAACTCTTTTGGGAAGATACCTGAAAGAGGAATAGCTGGGTCAAATGGAATTTCTAGCTTTAATTTTCTGAGGAGTGTTCATACTGTACTAGTTTACGTTCCCATCAACGATGTGGAAAAGTTCCTTTTTCCCCACAGACTCGCCAGCATTTGCTATTATTTGATTCCTGATTACAGCCATTCTGTCTGGAGTAAGACAGAATCTCAATTCACCTTTAAAGATGGAAAATAAACACTGAATAAAAGTCTGACATCAAAAAAAAGGGTATGGTGAGCAAAGAAAATAGAAAACAATGTACATAAGTGTGAATAAATATTATCGTTGTAAGACAGTAGCAATTTCTTGGGTTCAAAAAACAAGAACCAAAAGTTGGCACAACAAAAGCATGTAAGTCAGAAGGGAAGTGGAGGAAAGCGATGAGTTAAGGACTCGAATGCACTGGGCCCGCGTATGCCTGCCCGAATGCACACTGCCCGCGGGGCTGATTCCATTCCCTGTTCTCCTGAGCAGCCAGTCTGACCAGGCAGGCAGTACACACTGACTGAACAACGGGATGTTTGTGCAGCTCCTAGCACTTCTGAGGCAGGAAGAACACCTGACAGGGAGTTATGTGGACTAGGAGTGAATTCCAGTACTGTTATGAAACTTACAACACTGTGAGTGGTGTCTAGCTGTGCAGGAGATTCAATATATTGCCCCAATCAGGAAAAGCAGATTCCACAAATAATGCTGCTATTTCCAAACTTGTTCTGGGAAAATCAGTAACTTTTCCCTTAAATACTGCTACATGGGAGACAGTTAAACTTCCAGGCAAACTCAAAGTATTCTGAGATCCACCAAGACCAGCCCCAGACCATTCCATCACATCTCCCCTACCGTTTGGGGTTGGAGGAGCAAAGGCAAGTTTTCTTCAACTTCTTTTTGATGTTTTGAGACAAGAGTCTCATTACATACTTCCGGTTAGCCTTGAACTCACTATGTAGCACAAGCTGAACTCAAACTTGCAGCAATCCTCCTGCCTCAGGCTCCTGAGTGCTGGGAGGCATGATCCACCAGGCCCAACTTCCTCAAGTTTATAGACACAGTTCCACAATTAACAACAACCACAACTCTGTGGACAGCGCCAAAGTGTCTTACATGGGCTGACTCCTGTGATGTGCAAATAATCCAGGAAACGGTTGGCTGCCCACCACCTCAGATGAGGAAATGGGGCAAAGGGACTCCAGCAACTCACTCAGGGCATGGCACAGGGCCGGGCTCCGCAGCGCGGCCCCCAGTCTCACCTGCCGATGGGCAGGGCATTGCGGATGATCCTCTGGCTGCCTCGGGTGTACTCGATGTCCACCGTGATGGGGGCGGAGTACGTCATGTCCCTCAGGCGGCACTGGAATGGAATCACAGTCACAGGAAGGCCCTGTCGAGGAGCTGATGCCAGAGGAGGGCGCGCAGCTGTTCCCTGCAGGCCGTCCTCCCCAGCTATTCCTGCGCAGCCTCAGGGTGCTGGGAGGACTTCCGGTACTGATCCAGACTCTGGCCACTGCCACAGGACCCTGGCCCCACCAACCCAGGACCGGAACAATAAACCCAGAACCATCAGCTCCCAGGCCTTTCAGCACTCAGACTGCCCCTTGGAAGGTGACTCTGGGGAAGCAACCCATGTGGCTGGCGAGGCTGCTCAGCAGTTAGAGTACCAAACAGTAACTGAGGTGCACACTTGAGCACAAGCCTCAGCCACACTGGCTTCTGCTCCACACTCACTGAACTCCTACAAAGCTCCTCACCAAGTAACATGCTACAGCACAAATCATTCATCCCGATTCTAACCGTCTCTGAGCCATTCGTGGGAGGTAAGGAACGCGGTGCATGCTTCAGTCTGACAGGGTGACGACGCGCTAATGAGGTGCTTGCCAGGGCCCTGACTGGGCACGGGAACCCCACCCAAGCTTCCAGTGACTCCTTCAGCACATTAATGCTTAGCGGGTGGCATAGGGTCAACACCAACCCTGTAATTCCCAGTGCTCAATCTTTCCTCCTCCTTTGCGACAGTCCTTGAGATTTTAAAACATTACTCTGTCTAACACTGACCACTAAAAGTGGCTTAGGTATGTTACATTAGCTAGTTCAGGCCTCCTCTCTCAGGCATGGCGAGGGGTGGACCTGCTGGCTAAGTTCAGATCCCGGCTCTGTCACTTGCGTTTCAAATCTTCCTCCCTCTCAGTCTCCTCACACATAAAGTGGGGATGAGAGTGATCACTTCAATTCCCAGAGTATGAAAATACATTTTCGGAACAGTGCCTGCAGTACAGTACTACATAAGTGTTGCCTCCCTTCAGAAGGTTTCACAGACTCACCCCTTCCAGTGGAGATGAAATTCCTCAGATGTGACTGAAGAAAAGAATGAAACAGGACCCACTCTACAGCCTAAGTTGCCCTCCACCCCTGGCCCGGCCTCTGCGCTGCAGTCCTCTGTGCTGGCAGTCGCCCCCTGCTGCCCACAGTCAGGATTCCCCCAAGAACACTGCCCCACCCAACCAGTGATACCCAGATGTTCTCCCGGAAGTCAGACAGAGTAATTACACTGACTGACAGAGCCTCGGCTCCTTGGACCACTTCAAACGCTTCGTCTTCTCCTCTCCCTGGACTCGGTCATAAAGTTCAGAGGGGAATTTGGAGACTGCCAATTGATTGCCTGGTCCTTGAAAAACTGGAGAGATCTAGTGAGACAGAAGGTGAGGAGGGAGGGCCAAATTGGGGCACAAGCTCTGCGACAGCCCCCGCTCAGAGCCCAGGTATCTCCACCTCTCTCCCTACCTCCCCCCGCCCTTCAGTGCCTTCCACACATCCACCTCAGACCTGCTCCCTCTCAGCATTCAAGTTTGTAACCCGCAGGCCTGTTCCAGGAGCTGTTATTTTAATCTCCTCACAAGAGAATGAACTCCCTGGGGAAGGACATCATGTCTCACTCTTGTTCAATGTTAAGACACAAAATACACAATACATGCTGGTGTCTCAGACCTTACTAGTGCTGTAAACATGCACTGGTATGAGTGAAGCCATCTGTGTGGACTGCTTGCTTGATCACACCACCTCTCTTACTCAGACAATAACCACACTGCTGGGCCCCTTACCTCGCTTTGGGGAAGATCCCTGTACATCTCCTAGTTGCTATTTCAGTTTTACTTGAACTTCACACACCAGAAGAACTCACACAATGCTTGTTCTTTCCTGAATCGATTCCCATTATGAACACTAAGTAAGGAATCTGAAGAGAAAACCAGAATCTGCTAGATGCCAATCAGAAGGCCTGCCCTGCTCTGGCCCTCGGTCCGCAGCTCTGTTCAAACCCTGTGTTTCCACCTCCCTCTCCGCACCTCCCGCTGGGCTGCACCCCACCCCTCCTCCTCATCCTTGGTCCGGCCCGCACAGCCTGCACCTGTCTGACCCCAGAGAGCACACTGGGCGGGTGACCTGCAGCACAGGGTGAGGCCAGGGGGCAGGGGTCGGGAAACGGGACACAAACAAGTGCAGCTGTCAGCACGGAAAGAGGGCATAAACAGAGCAGAAGTATCCTGATGGCGTACACTGCCTAAGACACTGATGCAAAACACGTGGCCTCCGGCGTCTCAGACCATGGATTTCCTCACAGTGTGCACTGTCTGCACAGACTTCACCAGGTGAGCATCAGCATGTCCATTTCCAATGCTGGATTTGGAATCGCAATTTGTTACACAAGTGCTTGCCAATTTTTGACGTGTTTGTCTCAGAAGAGTTCTTTTTAATTAGCTGTTTTAAAGAGTATGTATTAAGGGCAGACTCTGAGTCAAAGCAAACAAGCCCAATTAAACAATGCTCCATAATTACCTCATGAGGGGACACTGGTCTAGTTACATTGAAGCTTTCTTCAACGTCGGGAAGCCCAACATAGATATTCAGGTATCTGAAAAGCAAATCATGCCATTCATTACCAGTCATACTTCTTCAAAGAACAGAGGAACAACAAGCTATTTCTCTCTCAAATATTAGGATTACGCTGACAAATGCTTACCTTGCTAAGGATGATGAATTAAAAATTACAGTTGGACACTTTCAGTTGACAGTATAATTTTACAACTGGGGGAAATATTATCATTAAGGTGTCTTTTTGAAAATATTGTAAATCTCTAGAAAAACACTAGAAAGACAGCTTCACAAAAATGATACCTAATGAAAAATGCAAAGTGCAAAATGGTTTGCTGTTGTTCAAGGAAGAAAGCAAAGGACCTAAGAGGGAAAATGAACGCGCTCTGGTGCAGAAGAACCACAGGAGCACAAAGGAGAAACTACTGACCCTGGGGACCCACGGGAATGAATGCCTGGGGACAGGCTGGAGAGAGCAGGGACAGAAGCAGTCTTTTCTGAAGGCACTTTTTTGTACAGTCTGACTGTTATAGTGACAGTTTCACATAAGCAAAACACATGTACAATTAAAATCAACCAGGATGTAGGGAACCCAAAATGGAGTACAAATCTTACTGCATTAAAAGGAAAAACAAAACTGCAAAGAAAGGGTGGGAAAGAAAAAACTGGTAATCCAAGTTACATCGGAAAACAGAATTTTGATTGGGTACTGCAAGGCTAAAGACAAAAAGGGTGGAAGTGGACACAGTGGCCCACACCTGCAATCCCAGCACTCTGAGAGGCTGAGGCAAGAGGATCGCAAGTTGAAGACCTGCCTCGGCAACTTAGTGACTTAGGGAGGCCCTGCCTGTCTCAAAATAAAGAATAAAAAAGAGCTGAGGTAGGCTGAGAATTTAGCTCCATGGTTCCACCGCCTGCCTCGAAAGGGCAAGGACCCAAGTTCAATCCCTGGTACCAAAAAAAAAAACAAGAGAAAGCTAAGGATGTAGCTGAGCATGGAGGCCTTCAGCACTCTGTCAGTATGGGGGAAGAAGGTCACATGTCTGTGAGACTGAACAACAGTTACTTCATTTTGTAATAGGGCCCCAACTTGTCTGCTTCTGTTACGGATCACCAGGTAGACATCGAGTTCCAAGGATGTGCTTGTTGTTGTGCCAGGAAGGTCTGTTGTGTGTGTAGTGTTCCGTCATGCTTGCCCAACTCCATATCTGAATATGTTATCTTAAGAACAATCTGTAAACGTTCCTTCTGCATTTCTCTTCTGAATTTCTGCTTGCCAACTTCCCCCTAGCATCTCCTATAAAAGGACCTCAGGCTCTGAGCCTCTTGCCTCTCTAAGCCTGGCGCTTGGAGAGTGCCGTCTGGCCAGACTAATAAAGGTCTGTTTTACAACTTGTCTGGTGTGTTCCCTCCCGGGTGATCTTCGCTGTAGTCAGCTCCTCGGAGCGTTTGGTGAGACACGGTCTTACTTTTCAATACTGTAGTCTAATCTGTAGTCTAATCAGTGAGCTCCGTTCTCACAGAGTTGTGAACCCACAGTCTAGGACTGAAAAAATTAAAGAGTTAATTGTAGATAATGAGATCCAGGTTTCTCACTCGGGGACAGAAGTTCCACAGGACAGAGAAGCTAAGAGGGCCTCTGCAGTGCTGGGCGGGACTCAGAGGCGCCAGCCTGCATGATTTTGCAGACCTGCACAAATGGACAGGACACAGAAATACAGGTGTGTGTGCACACGTGTCAGTATACACACACGCACTTCCTAACTCTGAGACCCTAGAGATCACAGATTGGTTAATAAACACTATTTTCCAAAAAAAAGGAACTAGGGCTGCCAGCCTGGGGCAGGGTGCATGCCGGATGACAACCCATCGCCCCGGAGGGTGAAGGGCCACTTGAAGAGCTTTAAGAGCAGGGCTGTGGAAAGGACAGCAGTGCCACCTGCGGGCCTCTCCGTGGCAGAGCCGAGGGAGTCCTGGACAGGGAGAGGCTAGCACTGGGTCATAAGCACAGGACAGAATAAACACCCATGCATCCAGACTGCTACCAGCGAGCATACAGAAGGTGAATGCGGGGAGGCAAAGCTGCTCCTGAGCAGGAGTGAGGGAGTGGACTTAGCATTATGCCAGTGACGGCTAGTGGTGAGAACCCGCAAGGTGTGCTAAAGTCAGTGGTGAAAGTCTGGCAAAGAATAAGACATTTGCATATCTCAAAGAATCTCCCATAGGATATTCATTGATTAAAGAAGGAAAAACAGTGAATTCTCCATGGAGAAACTTGGAAGATAGCACCTCAACCAAGCGAAGACAAAACCACCAGCAATAAAAAGAGCAGACATCCGATATGAATCCGTGAGGATACCTAACACTGCCTCTGCACGGTCTTGCCACAAACACATGACCCAATCTAAGCAGGAGCACATACACACATCAAAGTTAAAGGGGCGTCTGCAAACACTGAGCAGTGTGCGAGAGCACCAAGGCCGGGAAACACCACGTCCGGCTGAGGCCTAGGCCCAGGCCCAGACTGAAGAGACCAAGAACCCAAGAAGGTGCCAGGGAAGCCAGAGTCCCGGGCCAGGCCAAGCCTCCACTCAAAGAGGACGGGCGGGCAACGCCAGACGAGGTCCAGGGATCAGCCGGGGGCAGGATCCACACTACTCCAGCTAGATAACCACACTCTGGTCAGAGGATGCACCAGTGAGGCCGGGTGGAGAATGCATGGGAACTCTCTACTGTTTTGCAAGTTTTCTGTCTGAAATTATCTCAAAATAACAGTTTGCTTAAAATAGTTAAAACCTAATGGTTTCAGTAACTTCTCAATCATAACTCTGCTTGCTATAGTTTGCCAATTAAAAATTAAATTTGAGCGCTTTATCATTACCTTACTACACAGATAAAAGAGAAAGATTTGTAAGAATTTTGAGGGCAAGCACATTCACTGTGGGAAATGCTGGTCATGAGAAGAGTAGGTGAAGAGCAAGCGGCAGCTCCTTACTTCAGGTACCACATCGGGTCAGCGTCGCTGGTGACCTTCTCGTTGGCTTTCATGATCTTCTTTATCTGCTCAGAAAGTGAAACGTTAGCATCGCGGCCAGCCGGCTCGAGGCAGATTCAGCTCTGCCCGTGCCTAAGCGCTGACTGATGCTTACCTCCACGTTGATGAAATAGTTAAACGAGTCTATGTGCTGCTTCACAAGGCCTTTCACCTACACGGAGAACGGAGGCAGTTATCAACAAATGACACACTGCAACTTACACTCGTCAAAGGTGACCAAAGTAAAAAGGAGATCCACAAACCCCCCTAGCAGTGACCTTCACTGGTGCCCTCACTGCCTGCCACCACCCTCCTCAGGCCCTGTTTCTCCCCTGGGAAGCACTCTGACCTTTGGAACTCTCATACTAGGATCTGAACATCCTATGCACCCTCCCGTACGCCAATCAACCCAATCACAAATACACAGCAGCTTGGTGTGACGGCCCAGGCCTGTAATCCTAGCACTCAAGAGGCTGAGGCAGGAGGATCACAAGTTCAAGGCCAGCCTGGGCTGCAGAGCCAGACCCTGTCTCAAAAAATTAAAATACATAAATAAAACACAGCAATTAAGCACCACCTCTTCAACCCCCAAAGCCCCTTTTCTTTTTCGTACTCGACCCCCGCACTAGGCACCAGCAGACCAGACCAGAAGGGAGGTACTTCTGCTAGTGACAGGGAATCCACTAGATGCCTATACCACATTTTAAATTCACCCATCAGTTGAGGTTCACCTGCAGGGTTTCCGCTTTCTGGCTCTTATGAATCATGCTGGGCTGGTGGCGCAGCTCAGCACTGCCCCTCACCTGGACAGCCTTCTCCAGCATGGAGCAGCACGGTCATCCAACAGCACTGTGAACTAGGGGCCCACGCGCTGAGCTACGACGCCCACGGCTTTCTCTCTAAATGACCATCATTCCCCACCAGCCTCTATGAGCAGTGATTTATAGTTCCTTGTGCTGCCAAAACCTGGCACAATTCTATGAAGTTAAGTTCGCTGGTGATAAAAATTCAATCTTAAAAAAAGCTATCTGGTGACTTCAATCATATGAAAAATAATTATTAAATGTCAAGCACTCACTCACCTTTAAAAATGCTGGGAGCAGCCTCCATTTTTCCTGTGAATCAATAATAAGAAGATGAGAATTCTGTGCCAGTAACTGTGATACCCGTATGAGAAGTTATATTAATGCATCCAAAACGACTGTGACACAATGAACAAAACAAAGCGAAGTAAAAAAAGAACAATTTGAAACTAACCACTTTTATGGAAATCATATACAGGTGTGCATGCGGATAAATATATGTATATACAAAAATATATCAGTCTTCCTGATGACTCAAGAGTCCAGGCTCTTTTCACACTTCCTTTAAATTCTCATGACACTCCCCAAGTGGGTTTCTTAGTCACTTTCCTTGTGACTGAGACAAAAATACTCTGCACCCATGACATAAAGGAGGCTCATGTTACAGTCCACGCATGCCCTGTGGGCCCCAGGCAGAAGCAGCATGGTGGGAGGGTCTGCAGCCAGAGAGCTGCTCACTCATGGCAGTCAGGAAGTAGCGAGGGAGGAACGAAATCCAGCTAGGTCATACTCTAGGGACAGCCTCTTCCAACCTGGCCCTACCACTCAACAGCAGGTCAGTGAAAATGATCCAATCACCTTCCAAAAGCCCTGCTAGGAGAGCCTGGGGCTCTTGGGGGCACCATGGGGGTTGCCAGTTTGAGGGAACAGTAGGCCCGGTGGGGGATGGGTACCAGGACCTGAAGGGGAACCTCTGGACCTGCGCCCGAGGAGCCCCTCGCCCCGCGGCTGCAGAAGGAGGTGCACAATGCAGAGCTCCCACCTGCTACACTCCTAGAGTTTGGAGGCCGTTCGAGACCAGTGCCTATGGTGACAGCCGGCAGCCTCTTTTCCCAAACGGCATGTGATCTGCCAATGGGAACTCTGACAGATGTTCAAGCCGAGTCTGAAGTCAGACACAAGCGAGGGTGTAAGATCACGCGGGACCTGGCTTCTCCTGAACGACCTGTGAACACTCGAGGGCTCTGCGCACAGCGCCAGGAGATGGGGTCCTCTGAACTGGACCACGGGGCTGTGGGCTGAGGAGACGCAGGGTCAGGTGCAGGGAGAGCACGCACCTGGTCACTGGCTGGCTCGGACATGAAGTCCACAGTTAGGGCCTCTGAGAGAAGGTGGAGCCTAGCCCCACGGCTCCTGGCCTGGGAGACGCGAGGAGATGGGGCCCTGGGAGGCTCAGAGGGGCCTTCAGCAGTCCGGTTTGGGGCGGGTTTAGCCTGAGACTGCCATGAGACACTGAGGCAGCAGTTCCAGGGACACACAGTCTGGAACGTAAGTGTGGCCTGGACTAGAAACTAGGGAGGGGTTAGCAAATGGATGGTGACGAAAGCCATTTGAGAGACGTGGTCACCTAAGCAGTACTGACGGAGACAAGTTTCACGGAATGAGACCAACCAAGACCACCTGACATTTAGCAATGAGGAGGGAGACTGAGGAGTGGCCGGGGAGGAGAAAGCATCCTCAGGAAGGAGTCAGGCAAACCAATCTACAATGACAGAAGTAAAAATGCAGTGACTGAAAAGGGTCATGCCAGAACTTTGCGGTGACAGAAGCGTCCTACGGCACCCAGCAGGTGATGAGTATTTGGGTGGATGCAACGCACTTCCTGGGTTGGTTCGTTTGAGACTTGGGAAGCCTCACTTTTGATCCTTCATGAAACCCACAAGTCCTTAAGAACTAGTCTCCCCGCTGTGTGGCAATAGTAGCAGAGATGGAACCCAGGGCCTTGGGCATGCTTGGCAGGTTCTCTTCCGCTAAGCGAGGGTCGGTTTTGTTCCATCGAGGTACGGGGGTTGAACCCGGGCCTGGGCATGCCAGGGACACTCTGCCATGTGACATTCTCCCCCACATCTGCTGCCCCTTGTCAGGTGCTCCTGTCCGAGCCACCTCTGTCCCTCCACCCATGGGCTTCTCGCGATCACTGTGCCGCACGCAGATGCGCTCTCTGAGCTTCCCCGTGTGAGAGAGGACGCGCAGCATGTCTTCGGTGTCTGGTGCGCCCCTCAGAGGGTCTGACTCCTCTCCAGCAGCAGGGACCCACCTCCGTCATCCTTCTCCAAGGCCCTCTGGACTCCCTGGGCACTGCGGCCACACCCCCCCCCCAGTCTCCCAGTGCTCACCCCCCCTGCTGGCCAGCAACTTCTCCGCAGCCCAAGGCAGGCACAGGCATCCTCGGACTCCGCCCCGCCACGCCCCGGGTGCTGCTGTGTGGACCCCATGGGACATCTCCGTGCCTGCTCGCCCCGGGGACTCCCCCACCCCTCACGACCCTAAGTTCCCTTCGCTCCTAGAGGCAGAGAACAAGACCTGCACAACCCCATGGGTAGCGGGCGTGGGGCCCATGCTGATAACCCAGCACTCTGTGAGGCTGAGGCAAGAGGACTGACAGTTGGAGCCCAGCCTGGGCCACTGGCAACTTAGTGAGACCCGGTCTCAAAATAAACAACTAAAATGGGCTGGAGTGTGGCTCACTGTGAAGGTCCTGGGTTCAATCGCCAGTGCCGTCAAAGAGAAAAAAAGAAAAGGAACCCTGTAACTCATACACCAAAATAATGTCAATTGACATTTCTCCTGCCGTGCTATGCCACAAGAAAAAATACTCTGGGTATGATGCGTTCAAGTAAAACTGAGCTCTTTTCTAGGAAAAGTTACAGAGAAAACACTGAAGTTGGAAAGGTAATTTTAACTTTCAGTGTAAAATGGCTTTTTTCACTCAAGAGAAAACTCAGGATTGCTAAGAAATTTCTCCAGTACAGTACTGGTCAAACAACACTGAAACTAGAGTGCTTACTGCACAAAAATAAAAATAAAAATGCAAAGCAAACACTCAGCTAAGAACTGAAGACAAGCCGGTGTAGTAGCGCATGCCTGTAACACCAGCACTTGGGATGCTGAGGCAGGAGGATGCTGTGAGTTCAAGGGCAGCCTGGACTACACAGCAAGACCATGTCTCAAAAAACAAAAAAGAACTGAAGGCATAGCAGAGAATAGGATAGCAGAAGTAGAGCAAGTAACTACCGGCGTTAAAGGACAGGACAGCATAGTAATGCATGCTTGCAATCCCAGCTACTCAGGAGGCTGAGGCAGGAGGATTACAAGACCTATAAGGGCAACTTAGACTCTGCCCCAAAATTTCAAACAGGGTTGGGGATGTAACTCAGTGGTAGAGCATTTGCCTGGCTTGTACAAGATCCTGGGGCCAATCCCCAGTACCATAAAAACAATGAAGAAAAAAGAGAGGATACTATGGCAGTAGGTAGGAAGGAGATCTAAGTCTCCCGGGAGTCAGGAAAGGGCTGCCTGAGGAAGTCGTATCACAGATATATAGAATTTGTTCTACAAAGAGGAATAAGAAAAAAAGGTCGCACCTGGGATGTAGCTCAGCTGCATAGCACCTGCCTGGCAAGCATAAGGTCTTGAGTTCGATCCTCAGTACCAAATAAAAAAGAAAAAGAAAAAAAAGCCCTGGAAGAAACTGTGTGCACACAGTAGAAAAATCTCGGGGCGGGGGGGCGGTAGTAAGCAGTGGCCAGACCAAGGAAATGTCTTAGTAACAAGATGCGGACTTTGGTTACCCTACGAGCAGAGGGCAAGCATCTCTGCGTTTAAGCCGATGGCTTCGGGTACAGAGCAGAGGACGGGCTGGAGTGGGACGCGAGAGAGCCAGGAGGCTCGGCAGACTGTGAAGAGAGGCAGGGCATCTAGACTGTCGTGGGAAGGAACTTTCAGATCTAAGCGCGCTTGGAAGGCAGGACCCTTAATATGGAGGCAGAGGACCAGGAAAAGGAACTGTTGCTCCTGAATCACAACCATGGTTCTACTTTCTTCAAGGCTATGCAAGTTCAGACAAGAAATGTACACTTTCTAGACTTATTCCTTTGGTTATTTTGTGGCAGTCTAGATAGCGGTTAAGTACGAAGACTCTTGTGCAGACTGACAGAATCCAAATTCTAGATCAGTCACTCACCAGCCTTCTAGCACTGGGCTGATCACTCTGACCCTTGGGCCGAAAGAAAGTGAACAGGGTACTGATTTTAGAAGATTAAATCATAAAATGCATGTTATGGCTACACAGAGCCCAGCACACAGTAGGTGCTCAATAGCACTAGCCCTTGGTGTTAACCTTTGAAGTTAAAACCTGGCATTGCCTGATGATCAGTAGTGCACCACAGGCCCTCAGATTAACTTCTTGAGGCTGCAAACACTTATAAGCAAGGTTCTTATAATCCAGAGCCACTAATCAAGTCTCTTACGCTTCAAAGGCATCTCCATGCGCAAGGGGAAAGGCCCAAACCCCTTCAGATGCCTAACAAAACAGCTCACAACCGGGACCCTACATATCCCTCATCTTTCATTTCCTCCTCTCTTTCCTTCACTGTGCTCTGGGACTACCGAATGTTCTCAGCGCCTCTGGAGCATCTCATGGTCTCGCCCTGGGGTTTTAATACCCTGTCCCTTCCACCCAAAACCTCTCCCCTGAGCTTCTCCAGCCCCCTTTTCACATATCCCCATTCCATGCCAATGCTGATTTCCAGGCTCAAAGAGGATTTGTGTCTTTCCAGAAAAGATGTCAACAGCTGCATGTCGCTGGGCAGCTCACAGTAGGCTAGTTATCCCTAACTTCTGTGCGATGAAGCTATGGGGCATCTCCGCCAGAAAGCAGTGAAATCTGGGGGTAAATACTGAGACTGCGTCCAGTGTGCCTGCAGTACAAACGTGAACCCCAGGTAGGTGAGGAGTGCCTGCTAGCCTGGGACTGCGACCGCCTGGTTTTACCCCCACAGCGCCTGCAGGACTTCAGAAAGTGACGTAAGCTCTCTGGACCTCTAGTGCGACCCCGGGACCGGTCTCCGCCGGGCACACTTGGGCAGAAAGGGCTCCCCTGGGCTAGCATCTGCTGACAGCTCCTGTGGGATCCCTCCAAGTGCAAGCGGAGGCCGGACCCGAAGACTCGTACGCGAGCGGCTCCGAGCACGCGCAGAAGCTCCGAGCATGCGCAGAAAGGGCGGCCCGCCCCTCCTCACGATCGACACTCCGGTCAACGCCTCCTCAGATGTCTCCCGGCCCCTTCCTTCCGCTCCCGGCGCTCACCTCTACCGTGGAGATCGGCGCAACCAGCTGCTCCGGGGTCAGGGTCCCAAACTCTTCTGCTAGAACGTCCATGCCGCAAAGACCAAGGAAGGGGCAGGCATAAGCCCCACACCTTCCTTTGCTGTCCTGACCGAACAGCCGCGCGCCCGGAAAGCGTGTGCGGCGGCGTAAACTGTCCCCGCCGCGCGTGTGGATCCGAGGCGCGTTGGAAAGGTTCCGCCCGCTCCCCGGCTCACCCGCAGTGGACCGGAAGTAGCTGGGCTGGGCACATGCGCCCTCTAGTGTCGAGCGCCCGGGTGATCCCAGACCCGGGCGATCCCAGACCCGGGCTTCCTGCCAGTTCTCCAATCCGGGACCAGCCAAGCGCAGTGGTGGGAATTTTAGAAGTAACTTGAACAAAAATGTGCGCCAAGATCTTCCGTTCCCTACCCCCAAGGCAGGGAACCGCGCCCAAAACTATATTCGATGCCTGGAGCAAGACTTCCCAAAAGCCTAGGGATGGGGGTGTTTAAATAAGAGGTGGTGGTGCATGCCGTTAACCCCAGCATTGGGTGGCTGAGGCAGGAGGATGGCCGTGAGTTCGAGGCCAGACTGGAATACACAGAGAGACCCTGTCTCAGCAACGACAAAGGATATCTGGTGATGGAGTCATACACGCCGTCAGAATAACTATGCAGTGTGGGGAGGAATGAAGGCCTAATAACAGGACAGTACCCAACGGACTGACCTGAATGCTAGGAGTAAATCACTAGCACATGGAGAAGTTCAGTATGAAGAGGGACATTTAAATCCTAAAGAAATCCGATAAATGATGCCGGAACAACTAATTAGCCATTTGGGAGAAAAATATAACAAAGAATTTCTGTATCGCTGACTGGGGGAGCACAGGCCAGGAGTCCCTGTCACTCGGGCTGAGGCAGGAGGATCGCAAATTCCAGCCTAGCCTGAGAGCTCTGGTGAGATGCTGTCTCAAAACAAAAGTCCAGAAAGGCCTGAGATGTAGCACAGTGGTAGAGTCCTTGCCTAGCATGCTGCAGGCCCTAGGTTCAATCCCAGTACCCAGGGGAAAGAAATCCTACATGGATTAAACCCTTCAACATTAACAAAATCTTAAAAGGACAGAGGTGAAAATATTCATAACATTGAAGGACTTCAAGTGTGGCAACACAGAACTCATAAAGGATATGATAATAGGATTCTAAGCATGGTATTATGATTCCATGAAAAGTTAAAAATTTTCTGAATGTTAAAAATCACCATGAAAAACGGCGTGGTGATTCACACCTGTAGTCCCTCAAGAGGTTGAGGCAGGCTACATAGTAAATTCAAGGCCAGCCTGAATTACATAGTGAGACCCTGTCTCAAAGAGCTAAAAAAACAAAAAAGGGTGAGCCCTGGATTCAAAGGGTTCTGTGTACCAAATTCACTGTGAGGCCCTGGATTCAAAACTTGGTACCAAAACAAAACAAAAACCACAAGCGTGGGAAAAGAGCTTTAAACAACACAAATTGACGGCTGGGTGGTACAAGCATGTAATCCCAGCACTTTGGGAGGCTGAGGCAGGAGGATTGCTATTTCAAACTCAGCCCGGGCCATTTAGTGACTTAGCAAGATCCCATCTCAAAAAAAAAAAGCCCCATTCAGTGCTTCAGGATGCTGAGCTCAGCACAGGAGCTATCTTGACTGCACTCGAAGGTTCTTGTTTGTTTGTTGTTGTTTTGGGGATAGGGTCTCACTATGTAGCCCAGGCTGGCCTCGAATTCTCAGCGATCCTCCTGCCTCAGCTTCCTGGCTTGCATTTGCAGGTTCTAACCAGTTGTTTGTTCCTGAGTAAACTTGCATTGAATCATTTGAAAAATGCAATGTGTGATAATAAATTTAATATTTTTTTTTTTGGTACTTCAGATCAAACTTGGGCTTTGCGCTTGTGAGGCAGGTGGTGGAACCACTGAGCTAAAATATTATTTGATATATTCAGGCCAGGGATTTAGCTCAGTGGTTTCGCCGCCTGCTGCGCAAGCGCAAGGACCCGAGTTCGATCCCCGGAACCAAAAAAAAAAAAAAAATGTCTGATATATTCTTCCTAAATCCTGATTATAGATTTTTCCCTTTTATCTCCACCAGGGTGGTAGGAGGCGCTGGTCCTCCGAGGTAGCAGTGGGCTGACCCTGGATGCGGTTGGCCTTCAGACCTCAGCCAGGACAGTGTTTCCTGCCTGGACCTGAACCCAGGTCAGGTTCACAGCTTCTTTCTGATATTCTACGAGGCTGGATAGTTTTTTTCTTTTTCCAATACTGGGAATTGAACTCAGGACCTTGGCTTGCCGGGCAGGTGTGGCGCCGCTGAGCTACATCCCCAGCCCTGTGAGGCGGGATTTTTGAAACCAAAAACCCAGGCACAGTCTTGTGATTTCTCACCTCCTTTTCCAGGTGGTTTAAACAGAGAATGATCTCAAAGGGAAAACATGAAAACACGGTGACCAGGTGAGAAAGCGCTAGCTGGTGTCAGTGAGGTGGGCCAGAGCGGGAGGGGCAGAGGCAGCCAGGCGGGGCCCAGGGGGCTAGGGCGCTTCTGTCACTGAGCATCACTCACTCCTCGCCGGGCACTGAACAGCCCCTGTGAGCGAATTCTCTACCAAGTAATGAAGCCCAGGCAGGGGCGGGCTGGGGCGTGCAGTGCTGAGGGTCTGCAGGCAGAGCTGGAGTGGACCCAGACTGACCTGCTCAGGGCCGTGTCTTCACGGGGTGGCACTGCACAGGCGGGCTTCCAGGCGCATGGTGCCACACGCTGGCGAGGGAGTGTGGGCCTCGTGTGGCACTTGGCAAAGGGCGTGTGCCAGTCAGCGGAGTGGTGATATGGGCCTGCAGAGGCTGTCAGACAAACCCAACCACCCTGCTCGGCTTCAGCATGGAGATACTGGAAACAAGAAAAAGATCCCTCTCTTCTGAAAACCTTGATGCGTTCAGGCTAGAAGAAAATATGTGGTGCATGCTTGCAGGCCCAGCGCTCGGGAGATGAGGCCAGCCTGGGCTACACTGAGACCCTGTCTCAGAAACCACACACAAAAAAAGGAAAAAAATGTGCAATCCTGATTCCTATGTGTAGATAAGTTCATACAGGACTTGAGAAGACCAGCATCATGTTGGAGAAAAGATAAGGACAGGACTCTTATGGGCTTGCTGGAGCATGCCTATGATTCCAGCACTAGGGAAGCTGAGGCAGGAGGATCGCCATGAGGTCAGCCTTGGCTACATAGTGAGTTCCAGACTGGCCTGAACTACATAGCGAGACCCTGTCTCTAAAAAACAAAAACAAAACAAAACAGGACTCTGTCCAAAAAGGAAGGGGCAGAGGGAAGAACTTGAAGTCTCATTTCACAGCCCACATGGTGAGGGTGAACACAGGAGACCTTTGTTTTTTGTTTTTGTTTATTGAGGGGGAGGGGGATCTCACTTTATAGCCCAGGCTGGCCTCAAACTCAGTGATCCTCCTGCCTTAGCCTCCTAGTGCTGGGATAGCAGGCGTGCACCCCCACGCCCAGCTCTGGGAGATCTTCCTAAGTACTGTAGTAGGAGAACATCCTGCGTTGGAGCAAGACTGGGTGGTCCAAAGCCCTTCAGCTGTGGCCCATCCCACAGCTGCCGCCTGCTTTTCTCTGAGAATCCGGCTTTGTGTGACGTTGCCAGCAGAGCCTCCAGCGGCGGCCACAGGGCAGAAGGAAGGGCACCGGGGACTCTGGACAGGAAACCTCGCCCCACTGAGGACGCGTCCCACTGACCAGGTCCAGTCTCAGTCACACGCTCTCGGACACTTCTGGTTCAAGAGAGAACATTCCTGGAGCTGAGAGCAGATGCCAGGCCAGCACCCGGGAGCCCACAGCCGAGAGACGCACTTGGCAGGTGACTCAAAGGGCCGTCCGGCAGGCGCTGGGAGCACACATCCCAGGGCCTGGCCCTCGCTGGGCTTCACACAGAACAGCTGTGATCTCAGGAAGTCCCTCGCCTCGCTGGTTTCCTTCTGCTTCTGCACACCTGGAACAGAGACCGAGGCTGCCTCCCACCTGGATGCACTTACACGGTTTATGCACAGTATCTACAAAGTCGTCCCTGCCATTGGTAACTGCTCGGTGGTCTACTGTTCAGTTACTACATTCCAAAAGACAAAAACATTACACTTCAGCTTCTTTTTATTTTTTGTTTTATTTTTGGGAGGCAGGGTCCAGGCTGGCCTTGACATCTTGGCAGTCCTCCTGCCTCAGCCTCCGGAGCCTGGGCTCACAGGCGTGCAGCATATGCCCGGCTATTTCCAGCTGTCGCAGCACCCTGCAGGTGCATCTGCAGAGTGGGGTTCCCAGCGCCCCTTCCTCAGGAAGCCTGTGTTCCTTTTCTTCGAAATCTGAGAGAGGCTGACTCAGGAGCTCACAGATGCAAGCCGAAGCTTCCCTCCAGAGAAGGCGAGAGGCCAGCGGCTGATACAGGTTTCTTCTGTGAAAGTTGAGGTGAAGTCACAACTGATGACACCCTGAAACGCGTCACCGACCTTTGAAGCTGACCTCAAGGACAACCACGGTGGCGCCTCCCGGCCTTGGAGCAGCTCTGCCAGTGACAGCTGCTGCGCATCACCAACCAGCTCTGCGGGACTCACAGTCCTTACGTGGTACACACTTCAGCGTCACAGCTCAGAGGATGGCAACCGTGAATCCTGAAGGAAATTTAGGAGACATCGGCTCCAGTCCTTACAGCGGGGCTGGCTACCCCTGCTCTAGGGTCTGAGGATGGCTGGACTGGCCACTCCCCGATGCCCCCATGGGAAACAAACAAACACCAGGTTGGGCAGAAACTGGGCTTGGGGAGATTAGAAGTCTGGCCGGGGTTCACAAAGCTATGAAACAGCAGGAATGTGAGCCCAGCATGGTGGTGAATGCCTGTAATCCCAGCACTTGGGAGGCCGAGACAGGAGGATCTCCAAGTTCAAGGCCAGCTTGGGGTACATAGCAAGACCCTGTCCCAAAAACCCCACGTGAATAAAAAATAAATAAGTGGTAGGGACTCTTGCAACTGTCAGTTCCACGTCACTTTCACTGAGCAACGAGTGGAAGGTTTTGGAACTTCAGACCCCTGAGAGAGAGCAGGCTGCAGCTGAACTGTGAGACTGATGCAAGGAAGAGGTAAAACCCCGCATTGAGGCAGCTGGGCAGCAGCGGATCCCGTTAGCATCCTCGTCTGGCTCCAGATCCCTCCAGACCTGGCGCTGCAGGGTCTCCGCCCGCAGGGCAGTGCGGGCAGAGGCTGAGTTGTGTCCCCAGGAGGAGGCTCATGGCTTTTGGGGCAGCGCGAGGCATCCAGGCCGGGCTGCGGCTGCTCACCAGCCCTGCCATGCCCACCTCAGAGACTGGCCCTTCGATGGAACCGGGCCACGGGGCCGAGCAGAAGTTCGAGATTCTTCTCTTCCCCATCTGCAGAGGGATCAGGGATGGGCGGACAGCAGCCCCACAAGGTGGACCCATGAAGCCTGGCCTGGCAGTGCAGCCTGTCATCCCGCACAGGGAGACTGAGGCAGGAGGATCGCTTGGGTAACTTAGCAATTTGGCAAGACCTTGTCTCAGAAATACAATATCAGAAAAGGGCTGGGGAAGGAGCTCAGTTCGAAGGCCCTGCGTTCCATCCCCAGTGCCACAGTGATGCTCATAATAAAGTGTGTGGGACTGGGTGACTCCTTCCTTCCGTGTCATCCTCAAAAGCTCCGCTGTTTGGCGAGTCCCTTATGCATTTGTCACACTCGGCTTTTCACCTTGGTGCATTTATTTTTCTCTCGCCCCTCAGCCTCCCCAGGTTGGGGCTGCAGTGGGACCCCAGGCAGGCACCTGTCCATGCGGAGAGAGCTGGGTGCTGCATGGGATGCCCCAGCTCCAGGTGTCTGGGCCGGCAGTCTCAGGCAGGGCCGGCAGCCAAGGACGGGCGGGAGCCATCTGGGCAGCCACAGGCGAGCACAGAGCCTGCTGCCTGGACCCCGTGTCCGCCATCCCAGCCTGGCCCTCGGAGTCTGACTCCTCGCGGCCTCACTTCCGAGTCCACTTTTACTGCCCGGCCAGGAGTTCCCGCTGCGGTGCGTGTTTGCACCCACACTGCACCCTGCCTCCTTCCACACCAGCTGAAGAGCCCGGGGCCAGGGCAGCCTCTTCCCAAGCCGGAATCTGTTCCTGCCCGTCCCAGGACAGCGAGGCTACGGCTCGGGAACGCGCCTTCCTCCGCCCCCCACCCCGGACTCAGCAGACCCTGTGTCTCGTGACCCCCACCGCTGGCCGCCCCCCAGCTCCCTGGCTGTTCCGCTGCTCCCTCCATGCCACACCCCAAGAGTCATCTTCCACGTGAGGTCATGAAATCGCTGGATGATTTTTCCCTAGTACCAGTCATACTTATAACCGTTCTTACCCTTTACTGTAGCCGCTCACAAGTTTGGCCTTTTTACCAGACTAAACTCGGGGACCCTGTCCATTACCCATCTGTGCGTCACACCGGGAGACCTCTCGGCACAGCAGGCGCTTCCTGGACGACTGTCAGCTGAGGGACGTGTGCACATGGTTGGATGGCTAAGGCCCCAGCGGTCACCCTAAGACTCACTCTAGAACAACCACAAGGAACATTTCGACTTTCCACCCCCAAGTGACCCAAAGGTTCACAGACGGAGATACTGGCTGTCCTGAAATATTTTTTAATGTTTTAAAATTTAGTGCACACAATACATGTTTCAACCAGAAGATGAAAGCGTGTACATGGTGTTTAATAAAGTCACATTACAAAACAAGACCACGTTAGGGAAACACCCAAAGTAGAAGTGAAAGTAAAAACTAAACATGCGAAGGATATGACTTAAAAATCCCCATAAATGAAGTTTCCTAAATCCAGACTTGAGACAGATTTATTTTCCGCGTACAAAAATCAGAATGCTCTTCATTTTAAAGTTTTTTTAAATGTACATTGTTTTCCTGCAGGCAACTGCAGTATAATCAAGTATATCCACAAGTATCCGCGGATTCCACTCTGATAATCCAAGTCTGCACCAGGGGCCAAGCCCATGGTTCACCTCTGAAAGCGACAGTAGAGGCCGAGACTCACGGGCCTCACCGGTGTGCCCCGGAGCACATGGAGCCAGGTCCGCGGCGGGACAGCGGGAGGGTCGTTAGCACCGGATGTGTGAGGCCTAAGCCCCAGCACGAGGGACCGCAGGAGGGGACGAGCCAGGAAGACCCCACGTGCCCTCCAGCGAATCCCCACAGCTGCTTCCCTGGACAGGACGGCTGGTTTAGATACTGATCGGGGGGGGGGGGAGGGGGGATTGAAATTCATAATTTCCTGAAAATTTGGCAGGCCTCCCAAAATGCAAAGAGACAGAGAAACAGACTGCCTGAAATCATGACTTAGCACTACTGCGGGGCTGGAGAGAAGGAACGCTTGCGCATCCCAACCATGCTTCTCCACCAGATTACTGATGCTCAGCGGTGGGAAACAAACCCCAAGTACACTGGCTTTGGCTAACGCACGTTCCAGACAGGCCACCAAACTGCAGTGCAGCGTGTCCCTCAGCACGCCAAGAGGAGTTCAGACTCCAGGGTCTAAGCTCCCAACCACAGAGCCTCGCCGCACAGGGCTGGACTCCACGCTCAGGATGCCAAATGAAGAGCACTTAAAGAGCTGCACGGTCATAGTGGGTCAGGATTCGTTCAGCACAAAAGGCATTTGCTAGTTAGGTTATATGGATATGATACCCAAAGTTTGACTGTTGGCTTTTTTTGTTTTGTTTTGTTTTGAGACAGGGTCTTGCTATAAAGCTCAAGCTGGCCTTGAACTCCAGGAGATCCTCCTGCCTCAGCCTCCCTAGTGCTGGGAATACAGGTGTGCGCCACCACACCCAGCTATGCTTTGTTTTCTTTTCAGATGAGAACCTCATGGGGAACAAGGTCTTACTTCATGTGAACTTCCCTTCTTACAAAGACACCAATTCAAACCATCCCTGCCTTCCATAAAAATATTAAAATCTCATATAACCCTTATCAGTGGCCTGAGACACGCAAGGATGTTCACTAAGATTTGTGCAAATTCTGGAGGACACGTTATTTGTAAGAAGAAACCAACCTTTACAATAAAATTTTAGAAGGGAGGGATTTGTTTCTAGTTTTCACTAGACAAACAAGGGAGGTTTTATCTAAATTTTGTAAATAGCATTAAAATGTCCTTAATAAATTGAACTTCTAAATAAATACTGATACTTGGTATTATGATGTGATTGGTACACTGATGGAATTTGAGGACTTACTATGTAAGTTCCTGTTACACACTAACGAAATATAACTCTACATTTCAGATGCAATGATATTTCCTTCACATCCATTCCCTCTCCTTTTCTTTTCTTTTTTGCTTTTTTTCGTTTTTTTGAGACAGGCCCATGCTGTGCAGTTCAGGCTGGCCTTGAACTTCCTATGTAGCCCAGTGTAGCCAGGGTGGCCTGGAACTTCCAGGGATCCTCCTGCCTCAGCCTCCAAAGTGCTGGGATCACGGGTGTGCGCCACCACGCCTGACTTTCCACTTCCAACCTTTGGGAAGTTAGGCCCAAGTCCAAAATCATTTGATGTGACAGTAATAAATGAGAAAGCAACTCCTTGCAGGTTGAATGTATAAGTCAAATACAAATGTTGGAGAAAACCCAACTATTGAATTGGTACTATAATTATAAATTCCTTTCTGTTTGTTAAAAATGTCTGTTTTAAACTTGAAGATGATGTGCAGGCCGAGCCTGAGCCATCTGGGCTGTCCCGTGACCCGCGTTGGGACAGTACTGAGAATGAGCCCGTCTATGCTGCTGTGAAGTGCAGGTCGCCACGTGCCAGGCGCTGCCTCCTCTCCAGCTCAGCCCCTCTTCAGTTCGCTGGCAGCGCAGCGTCTGCCCCCTGGCTGGCCTCCTCCCCAAAGAGCAGCTTCCGGAGGATATTTGCATAAAACGGTCCATACACTTGCATGTTGAGGTTAACGATGTTCGCGAACTGAGTCCCCAGCGCTTCCAGCTCCTGCTGAATCACAGCCAGTCCCCCTGGGATTGGGGGCATGGACTTAGAGGGGCTAGGAAGGCAAAGGAGGCTTTTCATGTAGAGCTGGATTCGTTTATCTGAAGGAAAAAGTATGAAAACACATAATGCTTAAAGACAAGAACAGCCATGAGTGTGGGGTGATTGCGCTGAGGTCCCGCCTCCGAATCTGGTCTGGTTGGGGCTCGCTCTGCCTCACACAGGAGGATGTCCTGGACAGGTGAGAGGGTCCCAGAGGCCAGCTCCATGCCAGGCCTCGAAGGCGCGGCTCACAACCTCCTGCTGCCTGCCACCCATGACGCTAACGGAGGGAGGCTGGGGGCTCCCAGGGAACCCGGATCCACCCATGGCCAGCCAACTCCCGGGCAACCCCCAGAGTCTGGCTGAGGTCAGAGGAGCAGGGCCCCGACCCAAGCCACCGCCGGCCACAGATGCAGGAGGAAGTCCAGCAGGAACAAAAGGGCTTCCCAACCACACCCCAGCTTGCACAGGGCTTGCACAGGGCTTCTTTTTGGGCTACAGTGTTGGGGCCACCTGTTCCACAGCAGCAGCTGGCTGAGAAACCAACGGAGTGCCCTTGTGAGCTCAGGGATCTGGTCCGAGTCCACCCTAACGTCCACAGATGCAGCTGGTCCACTGAGGCCCGGCCTGGACAGTGGCCAGTCTGTCCAGCAGTGTTTGTCAGGGGGTGTGTGCGTGTGTGCACACGTGTGTGCATCTGTGTGGACATGTGCAGTAGTGTTTGTTTCAAAACAAAAGCCATTTAAAATCAGAGAACTTCACACAGAAATCCAAATTTTTGGTTCTGGATGAGAACCTAGAGATCTGGCCAATCCAGACGGCGGGGGCCCAAGCCATGTGGCACGCGTGACTGCACATCTAGGTTTTCTCAGATGGTCACAGTTCCCGCCTGCTGTTCCATCATAATTTTTTTTTTGTACCAGGGATCGAACTCAGGACATGGTGCTTGCGAGGCAGGCGGTGGCAGTCACCCTGCCAGCCTCTTGCCCGGGTGCGCGTCACCTGGCTGCTGCGGGACAGGACAGCAGGGCCGGGTGAACCCAGCTGCCCACCTCTGGGCCCCACGTCTCTCTCTGGCTTTGGAAATAGAAGCCTCACGGGCAAAGGGTTGGTGTGAAGAATGCACACACTGACCATGGACAATGAGACGTCAAACACTGCCCCAAAGCCACAAGTCCCCGTCCCAGGCAGAGTCCTCTGCTCTTTCTGACGCACCCTTCCACCTCGCCTCTTCTCAGTCAGCCTTCCTCGAGGTGAGGTGGAGTCTGCAGCACCCCCTCTGTGCTTCCCTGGCCCCGGGACAGACCATCCCGCCCTGGCCTGCCCGAGAGAGCCAGCTCTCTGAGGCAAGGCTCCATCTCCTGTCTTTATATCCTGGCCTGGCACGCAGTGGGCACATCATAGATGCAACTGAATTTCAGGAATGAAAAGGGGTCATGAAGAGAAACAGCATCAGAAAACCAGGGGCCAGGGAGGACGGGGCGGGAGAAGACAGGCACACCTGACTTAGGCTCATCTGGGAAGTTTCAACAAGAAGAAGCTTGGCATGTGTCACCAGGACAATCGAAAATTAGTTCTTAAAGACAGGGATGGTTAGCCAGGCATGGAGGCACATGCCTATGATCCCAGCACTCTGGGAGGCTGAGTGGGGAGGACTGAAAATTTAGGCCCAGCTTGGGCAATTTAGCAACTTAGTGAGACCTTGTCTCAAAAAAAAAAAATGAAAAAAAGCTGAGAATATAGCTCAGTGTGAAGGTCCTGGGTCCAACCCCAGCACTGCAAAGATAGATGATCGAACACACGAAGGCAGGCAGACAGGGCCCCGTGCCTCCCTGACTTGCCAAGTCTTCCTCGCATCCCTGGCTCTTTGAAAGCACTTCGCTGATCTTAGGTCCTCTGCATGCAGAAGAGCACAGCATCTGCCTACCAGGTTTCCCTCGGTGGCTCCTCCCCGACTCTCACAGGCAGGGTCTGTCTCTGTCACAGTCTCGGTCCAAATGCAGTCCCCAAAGACGCCCTTTCAGAACTGTTACCACACCCGCAGCGGTTCTCTGTCCCGGGGCCAAGACTACAGGAGCTGTGGGCCATGTGTCTGCCGCGGCACGTCCAGAGAGAGACACTCAAAAGAGCTGGGGTCCCTTGGGTTGCCAGGGCAGCAACACTTCGAGAGGAGAGAAGTGCCCTGTTTGCCCACGGTTCCCCGGGGTTGCTGAAAGCCGGCCTGGGAGAGGCAGGCGGCTTCGAGCGTCATCTTCCACCCCACTTCCCCCTCCCTGCTGACACTGCCTACGCCTCCCTCGTTGCAAGCGGTGCCCAGGGACAAAAGGGACAAGGCAGCTGGCTGGCTCCAGCTCAGACAGGACCCCAGATCCCAGAGCCAGCAGGCTCGGTGGGACTGGCAACTCCACCCCAGTCGGGTGACCCTGGCGAGCGTCCGCGTGTTCACCCAGGCGGGGGACACAGGGATGGCCCTGTGGGCTCAGCACCAAACGTGCCCTGTCCCCCAAGGCCAGCCCAGAGTGGGGACCAGGCAGGAGGGAGCCCAGACATGTCTTGGTCCCCAGCTCCTCCTCCTCCGCCCCCGGGGCACAGACCCCAGCTGGCCCTGACTCTTGGGCACAGGCAAGGGCCAGCACAGGGACCGTGTCTGTCACTGGTGTCAGCCGCCTGTCCCCCGTGAGCAGCCGTGTCCCCTGCCACCCACAATGCTGTGCAAAGTGCGGCTGCTGGGGGGGGCTGGGGCTCCTCGAGCAGCCAGGGTCACCGGGTGATGCCGAAGAAGACCTCACCCCGGTCCAGGAAGGGCCCTGTGGCCACTGTCCAGCCCCCGCCGGGTCCCCGTGAGCTCAGTGACACAGCCCTGTTTCTGCCTCACTCATGCACAGAAAGATGTGGCCTGAGCAGAGGGCACTGCCACAGGAGAAGAGGCCGTCAAGGGAAGGTGGCACCTCGAGGAGGAGGCAGGGAGACCAGGGGCTCCAGCCGCAGCTCCCCAGCCTGGCCTTCAGTGTCAGCAAGCTTAGAAGATCCAACGCTGCACCTCCGTAAGACAAGTCTTCCCAGCTCACAGACAGCATGGCAATGACAGCCATCTTCCTGGCCGTCAAGGACAGAGAGAGCCTGGGGACTCCAGCCTCCGCCTCCCCAACGCTGGCCATGAAGGGACCTGGGTCCCTGCTCTCGCTCCCACAGACCCTGACCCGCTATGGGGGTGCCGGGCCAGCTGGGGTGAGGTGCACCGGCCCAGGATCCCCACCTGACTGCCAGGCTGTCGTGGCGAGTTGGAGACAGCAGGCCCAGGACCACCCAGCCCACTCCCATGTCCTGGGGGGGAGGCTGAAGTCCCAGACCTTCTGCAACATTAAATTAACATTTACCCTACTGCTCACGTGTAGCCTCCCAAAGTCGCTATAGGCTGACTGCACTTTATCCACGATGCTCAGGGTCAGAAGAGTCTCCAACTGCAGTTTTGCTTTGTTGGAACGTTTACTTTACCAGCTGAGCATCCCTAATCAGAAAAACTAAATTGCCAAATGCTCCAACACCCAAAACTGTTATTCACGTACTTAAGACTCAATATGATCGACACTTAACATCGGTTATAAAACCAGCAAGTCAAAGCAAATTGGAATTGAAAGAGAAGCCAGTGAACAATGAGCACTCACCGATCAAGGCCCGGATAGGGTTGTTCTCCTCTTTGAGGCTTGAAAATTGACCTACAAGATTCGCTTGAACCTCAGCACCCAAAGCTGGGAAACCTCTCTCCGCCAGAGCCTTGTTCATGTCAGCCCAAGTCTGGACCCCGAGGGAACTCAGTGCCCCCTGCAGGTTAAAAGTCCTATAGAACAGCAAGCGAAATCCCATCAGAAAGCATACTGTTCTGTGATTGGTTTTTGTTTTTCTTATGGGTGATATTGACCAAGTTTCTCTTCTACCAACAATAATTACTTCTATTAGAATAAACTTAGAAAAGAGTAACTCCTCCCCAGCACCATCCGTCACATGGAACAGAATTAAACTCCATAAAACCATGCAGCTCTGCGGGCCTGGGCCTGGGCCTGGGCAGAATGCCGTCCTTGAAAATAAGTCCACAGCCCCATCAACATGCAGGTCATCAGAAATGAACAGAAAATACCAATCAATTCCCCAAAATAAATCTGCTCATCTGACTGGATCTATTCATCCATTTTTATTTTAACGGGCTTGGGAAATGAAGTAGAAGCATTTTTCTCTGCCGGACAGTCAATCGATAGCACCAATTACACGCAACAGACGAGGATACTGAGAGCTCAAACTGCCTAACACGCTGCACTGACCAGTGAGTCTTGCTCATCGTTACTTTCAAGTAACTGACGGATGATACCAAAGATACAGGATCCAGAAACATCGTGAAAGTAACCAAGGGGTGGGTTATTTAATAGGCAAGGAAAAGAGGCGACTAAGGCATTGCTGGGTCCATGGTATTAAGGGATGATAGTGACAAAGTGTTCCTCACTATCCAGACAGGATCTTTAAGACATCTCTAAGAGAAATGGGAATTAAGGAAGAGAAGCAGTACAATGGAGTGAATTGGAACACACACAGGCTGTCAGGCAGACCGGGGTTCAAATCCCAGCTCTACCACTGAACGGGCTGTATTCCTAAGTTGGCACATCACAAATCATCCAGTGGGCAGTTAGAGTGCCTCGAGAAGGAGAGGGAAACGCAGTCCCTATCCTGCCTTCACCGACAGAGTAACAAGTCCTCGGTGTTCCGCCTCGGCTGGGACTTGTTATTTACCCACGCCAGGCCTGTTTCTGGGTTTCTACAATCCAAGGGGAGACTGTGGCAAACTTCATCTCCTGGATTCTTATCCACTTCAAAGCACTGCTCAAGCTTCTCCAGCTTTTAATCAGTGAGCGCCCAGGCTACAGGAAAAATTAAATTTTAGCAAAAGCCAAGGCTTCCAATTCACAGCAAAGGCAAAACATGCTTGTTTTCAAGATGCACTGTCAGAACCCCTCTCAATGACAACTGGGGCTACTGGCGATTTGGAATCATCTTTTCCATACTGTGAACCACCCTGTCTGTAATGAGGTTAACTGAGAATCAACTGTGTTCGTTTCCTAAGAAAGGAAAAAAATTAAAGATCCAGGTAAACACCAGATAAAACTGGGAAGAAGGAGATTTAATTGAACAGATGCAGCTGATGCCCACAGAGCACACACGCTGGGGAGACAGCGGATCTGTGTTGCACATGGGTTTCCTTACGTCCTCGCCACCCCAAGGAGGTGTAATTATTATTAGTCCCCTTTTACAGGGCAGAAAGCGAAGCTCAGAGTGACTCAGGAACTTGTTTTAAAAATAAATACAACAGAGCCGGGGTGGTGACATACACCTGTACTCCCAGAGCTTTCAAGGCTGAGGCAGGAGGATCGCCACGTGTAGAGGACAGCCTGAACTAGACAGAGAGACCCTGTCTCAAAAACTTTAAAAACAAGGAATTTGTTCAAGCATACATAGCAGGAACAGCAGAACTGAGATTTAGCCCTGGTCTGTCTGACCTGAGGCTCTGTCGCCGGCGTGGCCAGTGTCCATGTGCTCCATACGGACGCCAGAGCAGCACTGGCCACTCAGTCAAGAACCAGGCCTGGGAAGCAGCGGCCCCTCCCTCGGTGTGAGGAGCTGCTGAGACAAGCACTGCAGGGGCGAGGGGCTGGGGCCGAGGGCACAGGCGGCACCACCCCTGCAGAGAGCAGGGGCTCAGCGTGCTTCCGCCAGCTGTGCAGCCCAAGGGGAATTCACTCTTCCTCTGCACTTCAGCTCAAAAGGAGGCCTTGGGGTTTTGTTTGTTTTGGTTTTTTGTTCTTGTTTGAGACAGGGTCTCGCTATGTAGTTCAGGCTGGCCTTGAACTCACTATGGAGCCCAGGCTGCCCTCGAACTTGCAGTGATCCTCCTGCCTCAGCCTCCTGAGTGCTGGGATCATAGCCACGCAGCACAACAGCCAGCTCCTGTTCTAAAATTTTTTCAAAAGACCTCAGCTCGCTGAGTACTGGATGGGAGGGCAGGTGCGTCTCCTTCCCCAACAGGCATAAAGAGGACTCGGCTCTGAAACAGCTCCAGGGCGAACCAGCAAGAGGTGCTGACCCACGTAAGACCCAGACAGACATCCGGCCACGGACCAGGCCAGGCATTTTCTGACCTGGACAGGACTTCAGCAAATGACCTGAACTCAAAAGCTAAGCAGGGGTCTAGTGAGCAATGGAAGTGCGATCCCGGAGGTGAGTTTAGCAAGATCAGAGCTCTCCCTAGAGGTGCGCCCCACCTTTGAAGGACAGAACTGCCCCACTCTGAGGACTTCCTGGCCAGTCTGACTGGTGAAGCCAGCAAAGACCTCACTGCAGAAGAACGAGGCTGTCAGTAACTGAGCCTGAGAACCCCTGTGATATTGCGAGTCTTCAAACACTGGGATGGTTGCATTTCCAGGTTTTGTCTGTTTTTTCCACAGTTTTGTCAAATAATTTTTCTTTTTTAGAGAAAGTCTGGCTTTGAACTCACTCTGTGGCCCAGCCTGGCTGCAAACTCTCAGTGATCCTCCTGCCTCAGCCTCCTGAATGCTAGGCTCACAGGCCCGCACCTCAGGCCTGGCTGTCAAAGTCCCTGCATGTACACCTACCAAGGGTGGAACTACACTCAACCTGGCACTTGTCCGTGGAAAACGCATCCCCCTCTCCAAGCCTTCAGAGGTATTACAGGGTATTCTAGAAAAAGGAGGTGCAGGATAAGCTTCTCTGGATACCCCACTGTCCAAAGTGACTACTCTGCTTGTGTGCTGCACACGGGACCCTCAGCACATAAATGCTCACGTACTTTTCGTGCATGCCTTCCAGGAGGACAGCGGCGGTCCTCTTCAGCCTGCGCAGGAGCCCGGGCAGCCCTTCCGAGACAGCACCCACCGTGCTGTTAGTGATCAGGCACAGGCAGGCGATCATCTTCAACTGGTTCAGCTTCCCGGTCAGTTCCTGAAGCCGCATTCCATCCGTCACGAGCGTCTGGCATATTCATTTAAAATGTAAGAATAGAAAGGGAAGCACAACACCATGAAAATGTACAGTAAGCAGCCTCACATCCCAACCCCCTTCTATTGGGAGACACAGACAGAGCGGAAGCACCAAAACCCCGGAAGCCTGGGGAGCGGGCGGAGTGCTCGCCTCCGGCAAGTCTCTTCGCTGGTAATCCCACTGCAGCAGCTTCAGGTAGCTGTTGTTCAACACCAGTCGAGGGCTCAGATTTTCGGCCCGGGGAGTTAAAGCAGCCTCGGAAAGGGAAAGCAGTTCTTCCTTCACAGACTCTCTTATCCATTCTGTGGTCTGATCCAGTGCACCTAAGGGGAAGAGGCCACAGGTGGGTCCCGGGCTCTCGGAGCCCTGCACTGCATGCCCGCGGAGCCAGGCTGGTACAGAGCTGGCCTGCAGAGCGCCGACGACACAGAACCGACGGGGGCTTCCCATCGCCTGGAAGGCTCTTGTGTGACCCCTTCTTCCCCCATCCCGACCTGGGCCACCACCGACCACCTCCATGGTGTCACTGTAAGAGGCACAAACAAAACCCAGCACCGCACGGCCAGCGGGACCAGATGTTCACAGGCTGAGGCCCGCACTCTGGGCAGTTGGTCAGCGTTAGATGGGGTCTGGGCACTGGACACTGGACAGCTACCCTCCCTCCACGTGCACATGTGGGGACAAGCATTTAGGAAGTGACCACATCCATTTGCAAGCCAGGAAGTGAGCTCTGCCCCGGAGCCTGTCAGCAGGCCCCTTGACCTTGGCCTTCCCACCCTGCGCCGTGAAAGAAGAGTCTGCTGCACAGGCGGCCTCCTCTGTAGTGCTCTGACCACGACAGCGACCCTTTCATACTGCTCAGTTTACTCAGCATCTGTCCAGTTGTAGCAACAGCTCATCCCTCTTCATCGCTGAGTAGTACTCCATCACGAGGACATGCAACAGTATCTATCCATCGGCCTGCTGGGGGACGTTTGGCTGTTTCTGGTTTGGGGCTGTGCACACTGGGCAGCTATGAACACCCATGTGCTGGTTTCTGAAGAAGGCGAGCTTACATTCCTCAGGGATAAGAGTCAATGCCGAGACTCCTATGGCATGCTAAGTGTCTGTGAAATGAACTGCTGAGGTATTTTCCAGAGCTTCACCTTCATTTTTACTTTAACTGTTACATTTATATGATTTAATTTTTAGTAATGGTCACATTTTCCAGCTCCCAAAATTCCTGAAAAGGAAGTGAATGGTTCCCAGGCAGCACCAGCCTCTTTTTAAATGGCCTGAAGGTCTTCCCCAGACCCAGCGTCAGGGCAGGGCTTCCTTGGAGTGGCTGTTGGTGACACTGAGGCCCCTCGCCCCGAATTGCACAGCTGCTGCTCCCCAGTTGGCAGACGTTGTTCTAGGTCCGCTAGTTCTGTTTATGAAGATGTAAGACTTGCAGCCTTTTATTAACAGTCGACCAGCAGAGAGAGAGCAGGTGGAAGTCAGGGAGGCCGTCCTGGCTGGATCACAGCACGGCAGGGAGTGCCCAGACTGCAGCTCTGAGCACTTCCGGTGCACCTTGAACGCCAGTGAGCGATCCTGAGCAACAGCAACAGCAGGTTAGCGGCTCTCACTTCTGATTGACCTAAAGTCACCCGGGGAGCTTTACAAAAGGAAACTGAGGATGCCCAGCTCAGGTCCTGGAGGTCCTGGTTTGATAAGTCTGTGGTGGCCTTCAGCATCCTCACTTAGATGCCCAGGGACATGGAAGTCGTCAACATTGTATAAAGCTGCAGCCTTCTCTTGAGGACTGCTGAGCCCTGTCATCCCATGAGCAGGCCCACGGACAGCTCCACGAGAAGGGCCAGCCCACCAGGCGCTTGGCAACCCTCGCTGTCCGTGGGGACACGTATGTGCACGGTATGGGAGCCTGGCCGGGACTCGGGACTCACAGAGGCCCCAGCATGGCCAGCTAGAGGGGTGTGGCCCCACCTATGAGCCCTTGGTGCCCAGCAGCACCTTGCTTTTCTGTTCTGTTTGTTACTGACTTCCTTTGAGAAGCTGCTGCCTCCTTCCAGGCTTCCTTTCCTGAGTATCAGAGGCTCTGCTGGGTCCTTCACACCCAGCCTTTCCAGCCGAAGTTCCCAGAAGGCCCAGGTGCTGTGTCCGGACTCACCTGAGCCGTGTCCCCACGCCAGAGCCTGGCTCCCCTGGCTTCCTCTACCTGACCCCAACGCATCCCCTCGAACTCCTCCTGGGATGCTGGGACCCGCCCGCCTGACCTTTCCCAATTTCCTTTCCTTTGGGGGCAGCTAGAGTTGGGCTCTGTGGCCTGCAGAGTAACCCAGCTCCTGTAGCACAAAGCTGGGAAAGCCAGAGAAAGCAGTGGAAGCTACAGCTTGCTTCAGTTTGGGCTCGGATGTGGGAGACCGGATTCCAGTCCTAGCTCCACTCCTGTCCAGGGGACGCCTCTGACTGAGTGGGTCAGCGCTCAGCACCAGGTACTCTGCTTTCCAATGTCCTGTCAGCTGGGTGTGGTGGCACAGGCCTGTGATCCCAGCACTCGGGAGGCTGAGGCAGGGGGACTGCACAAGTTCAAGGCCAGCATTTGCTACCTAGTGAGTTTGAGGCCAGTCTGAACTACATAGCGAGACCTTGTCTCAAAAATATAAAATAAAACAAAGTACAACGTTCCCATTACCTTCTGTGTCAGGTAAAGGCAATCGCAATGGACTCTGATATATTTCTGAAAAAGACATTTCTGTTCCCAGACATTTTAAAAAGAATTACATGAAATAAAGTTCATAAGGACATCTTATCAGATATATTATCTAAATAAATAAAACTCTTTCTTTCTGGGTATCCTAAAAATGACTTACGGTTCCTCTTCCCCACTGAGGGTCGGTCCATTGCTCTTTTTAGGGGCCATCTGGTTCTGGATCGATTGTTGTAACCATGCGGGCGTGTAGCACAGACCTGCCGTCCCTGCTGTGCCGCTGCTCCCCTCAGCGGCCGTGAGCGAGTCGGTACCGCGCTGCCACTGCACGGGCGCCTGGCCTCTCCTCGCCTCCCCTGCCGCGGTCCCCCGGGGCAGCCCACTCCCTTCCTGCAGAGCCCAGGCCACCCACCTGCATCTTGGCCTTCCTCTGTCCTCTCACACAATCTGTCCCCTAAGCGGAGCCACAGAATCCTCCCGCAACAGACAGGGGTCAGTTCCTGCTCAGAACTCTCCAGTGACGCCCGGCACGCCTGGGGTGAAGAGAGCTCCACCGTTACTTCCGTGGAGGATTTCACAGTGTCCACTCCTTCCTGTGCCCAGCTGTCTCCCAGCGACACACCAGACCACACGACGGCTCAGGGAGGGCCTGTCTCCGCACCGGCAGCTCAACTCCCAGGCCTGGGGCTTCCCCCTGCGTCCCTGCCGCACCCAAGCCATGTCCAGGGCAGCTCTTGAACGAGTGAAGACTCGGGAGGTGCTCAGTGCAGCTCCCGGTATGGATGGAGCAGCTCAGAGCTCGCAGCTCGCCGTCCCTTCTGAAAGGCAAGGCTGTGCTCGACAGGAAGGCCGGAATTCTCCGTTGGCACCACGGAAAACATGAAAAATTACGGTATATTTTCACCCAATTTCAATATGAATGCACATTTCACTGTACTTACTTGGACTTTCCTCTAAAATTTCCTGGAACTTGGTTCTCTCGTATTCTACCAACTGGCGCTGCAGGTGTGGTCTAAGACTCCAAATTGTAAAATTAGCCATATCCATTTTCATAAGGTCCAGCACATGGTATATTTGTCTAAAATGTTCAGAACCAAAATAATTAGAGATGAATAAAAAGCCAAGCTGAAATTCATTATCTGGTATCTGTGTGCTACAGGTAGAAAAGACAAGCAATTCCCAAAGGGCCTTGAAGCTGTAACTGTCACTGGGCCAGGTCAGAAGGCTGCACTGTGTACTCAGGATACGAACACCCCAGCGTCTCCGCCAGAGCCGGTCCTAAGCCAACAGAAAACCACGGGGCGGCATCACCAACGAATCTTAAAGATGACAGAAGAAAAACTCAGGGAGGAATTTTTATTTGCAAACCCCCGACTACATTAAGAAGCCTGAACATAGCGTATATGGTTTCTATTCCTAAAGAAATAAGAAAACATAAATAAATGAAAGAAGAAAGGGTAAGGCGGGGAGGAAAATGCGTTCTCAAAGTCGGGCAGCCTGTTCACACACGCAGCTGTGCAGGCGTCGCCCGGCCGGGGGAGGTCACAGAGGGGCCCTGACCTCGAGGACGGCGCCATGGCGGGTCCCCGGGCAGCGAGGGCCCTGCTGCAGGCTCCAGACCGGGGACGGCGAGCCTTCCAGAGACCGGGTGCCCGAGCTGCAACGCTAAACCCACTTGTTCACCACGAAGTGCCGGCACTGCAGCCAAAGCCGCATCTCTGATGCCAGGCTGCAGGGTGACGTGGCTCGCACGTGGCAGAGAGGGCCCTGCCTGCCCCAGGTTTGCTGCCACTGAGGGAGACATCGTCCACTCTTCTTGCAGACTCAGCACCTCGTCACTCACTGTCCCCTCCTAGCCTGTGAAGTCCTCGTGCCAGGCCTCACATCATGGTCACCCTGGCGCCCACCGATGCCAGCCAACAGCTTCTCTTTCTGAAAAACTGCGCAGACAAAATGACTGGCTCACCCCTTTACCTAGTTTTTCTAGGGTCGAGAATTGCTTTGGGAGACCAGTTATTCTGTATTTCCCCATGCCTGCCCACATTTCCTTCTTGTTCATTTGCTTTTTGAGACAGGGTCTCACTCACTATGTAGTTCAGGCTGGCCTTGAACTCACTGTGTAGCCCAGGCTGGTCTCAAACTCATGGCGACCCTCCTGCCTCAGCCTCCCGAGTGCTGGGATCACAGGTGAGCACCACCACACCCAGCTCTACATTTCCTTCTTTTTTTTTTGGTACCTGGGATCGAACTCCGGACCTTGTGCTTGTGAGGTAAGCAGCCTGAGCTCAATCCCAGGCCCCATTTCCTTCTGAATGAATTCAGAGATGCTGCCAGCCGAGCCGAGCCCCGGCAGCTGTGCTAACCTCAGCGCCTCCACGATGTTGCCGGTGGCCTTGAGCTCCCGGATGTCGCTGTCCCGCACAGGCGCACACAGCTTGCCCATCATGCCGATGACATAGGCGGCCAGGCCTGTGATGTCCACAGAGCTGTGCTCAGCCTGCTGCCGTATGAGCTCGGGGTCCAGCACTTCACAGATCTGGGTGCGGAGCCGGTTCCCCCCGGGAGTCAGGAAGGAGAGGAGAATCTGCAGGAAGAGAAGCCAGCAGCGTCGTCACAGGACTCAGTGGTCATTTTCCAGGCTCCGCGCTTCCACTCCATGGAGAGCTTGGCTTTCCGCATCCCTGTGGCCGGGGCACTGCGGCCAGAGAGAGCCAGCCGAGGAAGCTGAGCCACGGGCTCAAGTCCCTGCACCCCGCCAAGCTCCGGGCTGGGCAGTTAGAGAACTCGGGTTCTCCACATTAAACAGGGGCAGCAGGAGGAAGCAGCCCATCAGGATGCGGTGCGGCTTGTGGCAGGGCCCGGGTGTCCTGTAAACGTTAGCTGAATCACAACTGTCTTCCTATTTGATTCTCAGAGCCTTTTCTCCACTACATTTTTTTTTTTGAGACACGGTCTTACTGTGCAGTTCAGACTGGCCTGGAACTCGCTACATAGCCCAAGCTGACCTGGAACTTGGGGCGATCCTCCTGCCTCCGCCCCAGCCTCCCACGTGCTGGCACGCCGGGCTCCTCGTATTTCGTGAGCGCACACTGGGTACACAGACTGGCAGGTCTCGTTTTGGCAGATGCGAGCATGCACGTGACACACGTTGTTCATTCTCCCACCCGCTCCCCTGCGGCCCCGAGAGTCACCTGCTTGGGGCGGCTGGTGTGCGTAAACTGAGACAGCGTGCCCGCCGCTAACCTGCGCACGGGACTCCGGTCTGGGCCCTCAGCACCGGCCCAGCTCGGTCCCCTCCCCTTCCCCAGCCCCGCCACTGCCCAGGCCGCGGGGAGAGCCCCACTAGCTGAGGAGGAGCCCGTGGCTGTGGTCGGGATGCCCGCGTCTCCCCAGATTCCTGGGTTGAAACTCAGAGCCCTTGGAGGACTCGTTCCCAGGCCGGGGCCGGCCCCTGTGGAGGAGCCCGGATGGGCAGCAGGCTCTCGGGCGCCGACTACTGCCGCCCACGCGGACGTCTCAGCAAAGCCCCCAGGGCCCCAGACAGACAGTGACTTGCCTCTCTGATCTCCTCGAACAGCCTGATGGCGTGCGCAAACTCAGGGGGCTCAGCGGTCAGCTCAGACTCCAGCACATCCCAGAAGGCCTGGTGCACGATGCTCCTCACGCGCCCAGCCACGCTACAGCAATGAGACGAGCTGCTTTAAAACAAGCATCTTCTCCCGGAGGCTACAACTCGGATGCTCACCACAGAAACCTTGCGCAATGCATGAAAACAGAGGAAAGCTGGGGGCGGGGGGTCATGCCTACAATCGGAGCCCTCTGGGAGGCTGAGGCAGGAGGGTCACAAGTTCCAGCCTGGACAACATAGCAACATACTGAGACCGAGTCTCAAAATAAAATATAAAAAGGACTGGGGCTGTAGCTCAGGGCAAGCTCTGCGTTCAATCCTAGTAACACAAAAACAAAACCAAGCCAACCTAGAGGACAAAAATCACCCCCGCTCCATTCCTACTCTTCTGACATACTTTCCTGCTCAATGCACCGTTTTACCATAGCGAGCAGTACACACCGTGCTCAGTAGCAGACTTTTCTCTTTTAGCATTCTGCCCTAAGAGTCTCCCCTGGACTTTAAAATGCTTCCTTTTCATGGCTTTTAATAACGCCATGCAGTTCTGCCCTGAGGAGACTCAGGGGCGGCTCCTCTCCCTCGAAGGTCTGGGTCTGGCTGTGGCTTTCAGGGAGGTGCGCATCCCTCAACTGCTGAAGTTTCATGGTGGGAACAGACAAGAGTAACCCCAGGGACCCCAGCCAGCCTCGATGGCCCATTTACAGCCAGACCGCACTGCCACAGGCAGGCCAAACCCAGAGCAGGTGCACGGCAGACACGGACAACCCGAGGAGCCTGCACCAGGCCAGCAGCGGCACTTTCCCCAGGCAGGCACAGCCCCTCCTGCAGGCCCTGCCCTGGTGCCTGGCACAGCGGCCAGCACTCGGCATCTGGGGCAGCACAGCAGATGGGTTATGGTGATCATTACGCACATCTCCTACCTATTCTGTTTTGTAATTTAAGTTTTTACTGCTGTTAGTCCACATTTGCTTATGCTGGCAATCACATTCACCTTGGGGAGTTGGTGCAGGGACAGAGCACATCTTACCCTGCTTTGCTTCCCCTTCCCCTCCATTTCTTTCCTCCTTTCCATCTGCCAAACTCGTTTTTCTTCTTAAAGTACAACAGTGCTATGAGAGATGCAAATGAGCTTTCTGAGGAGTGTGAGTTAAAATTGTTTCCATACCTGCAAATGTCACATTCTACTTAAACTTCAAAATGTGACCCCGTATGCGGGTCTCCCGCCTGACGGGAGGGGTCCACAGACACCTTTCCAACAGCCAGCCTGCCCGTGGCCACTCGGGAACCAGGACAGGCACGCGGAGAGGCTTCTGGAGGGGGCAGAGGGGCCTCCCCATCAGCCATTTCTAAGCATCCCTAGGGTACCACAAGGTGACCGGTCACATTTTATCCCCTAGATGATACTTGCTAAAATGCGGGAGTCAGCCATATATTAAAAAGGAAAAACTTGGCCATACTGGGGTAGAAAATCAACAGATGATAATTTGCTACTTAAAAAAATTTTTTTTGCCATATTGGAGATCAAACCTGTAATCTTTATAGAGCTGCATCTCTATTCTTTAAAATTTCTTTAAAATTTTGAGACGAGGTCTTGCTAGGTCACCAAGTTGCCCAGGCTGGACTTGAACTTGTGATCCTCCTGCCTTAGCCTCTCCGAGTGCTGGGATCACAGGCAAACGCCACCACCTGCAGCTCTCCCTTTAAACGATGGAATGTGCCCGAACTCTGCGCTCTATCCCCTTTGCTCACACTCTCCGGTCATGGCTGAAATGAGAAGAAGCTCTCTATTCCCCACATGTCAGCCGCACTTTCACGCATCTGATGTGCGCTGTCAGCCACTGTCTCCTCCTGAGGGACCTGGGGCTCAGCCGAGGTCTCAGCCCAGCGGGGATTCGAATCTGGGTTGGTCTGACCCCAAAGTGCCTCACTCTGGCCTTTCCTTGCAACTCTGGACTCTAAAGTAAAGATAACCCACATGGTCTTTTCCTGTACTTCAAAAACTGCTAATGTTAGCGCCCAGGAGGAGGCTCCCCCACTGCCATTCCACCGCTCCTAGGGCAGAGGAGGTGAGCTGCACAGGCACCAGCAGCACCCCCTACCCGCTGTGCAAATGAGAAGCCACATTAAACAAGTCTCAAAACCAGACTTCCAGATCACCTACATTAACCCAAAAGGGAAACAAGATGGAACACTCTGATACTCAACCACCTGGACTCCCTGAACTGGCAACAAAAGAGGATCTGAAAAAATGAAATCAGAAATAATTTCTCAGATAACAG